CCTCTTATCAAAACACAGAGTCCCCACGCTGATCCTAGCAAGTGTGTTCCAGGGGAAGTGGCCTGGCCCCGGCCAACAGGCCCTCTTGCTGGCCTTCATGACAATTGCACCTGATTTTCTCCCTTTATATACCTAGGCTCATCAGTATTTGCTCCTGGGAGGGAGCTCAGCCCACGCATGGCTGTGGCCCTCTGCTTTTAGAGGCCATCGGTGTGACCTGGTTTGGAACACAACAGAGGCTGTCCTATGCCTCTCCTTTCATCCTAAAAGGCTGTGTCTCCCCTGGTCTTGTTCAATGTGCAGCGCCCACTGAGGACCTCATGTGGGACTTGTCACCTTTGCCCATGTGGACCATATTTGCTCTACAGTGTGGTCAACATCTCCGAAATTTCAGGCCCAAATTGTATGCTCGGGTCTGGGGTGGTGGGAAAGCTGGGCTTTCCCCGACCGGCTTCCGGGTGTAGCCATAGGGAGCAGATGCAACACACTAGTGCTGTGTCAGCAAAATAGGCAGCGGCCCTCACTGGTGGGACAGGGGTCTTGTGCCCGGCAGAAGCCTGCAGGAAGCACTCCTCTCCCGCTTCTTGCCCTTCTTCACCCCACATCCTCCGGCCCCCCCAACCCTGGCCTGGAGCAGCAGAACTTGCAAACAGGAAAACATGCACTAACTGCAAAGAAATGCAGTGAATCCAGACGTAACCCCAAAGCAAACCTCATCCACGCTGGGTTTGGAGCTGTGCTCTGCGATGGCCGTCATTGTCTAGCTATGTGGAGCGGGGAGCTGCCCAGGCTGTGAGATAAGGAGCTGAGCTGGGGCTGGGGATCGGTTCTCTCCAGGTGCCTCCACGCGGAGGGGAAGCCCGTGCCCCGCGTGCCCCCTCGCTCCCTGATGGCTCTGGGGTGAGTCGTATCTCAGTGGTGACTTCATTTCCCTTGAGTGTGCACAAACTCCCTGGAAGGTTCCAAAGAATAACTCACTTGCATGATGGTGTGGGCGCTTCTGATATCCCTGACTGCGCCTTTCCTTCGAGGCCCTGGTGGTCCGGCTGGGTGATAGTGGAGGGTGGATAATTGCTCCGGATAATTGCTCCAGGGAGAAGAATGTGTTTTGTTAAGATAAGGCTTGACCCTGAGAAGAAGGAGCTCTCCAGACGCCTCTGCAACGGCAGGGGGGGGGGAATGAGGGTGGGAGTGGGGGTGCGGGGGTGAGGGAGATGCAGGCCACGCCTGTCCCCTGGCTGGGGCAGCGTCCAGTACTGAGAGCCCCAGGTGAACTCCTCCTGGGAGGGAGCTCAGCCCATGCATGGCCGTGGCCCTCTGCTTTTAGAGGCCATCGGTGACCTGGTTTGGAACACAACAGAGGCTGTCGTGTATCTCTCCTTCCGTCCTAAAAGGCTGTGTCTCCCCTGGTCTTGTTCAACGTGCAGTGCCCACTGAGGACCTCATGTGGGACTTGTCACCTTTACCCATGTGGCCCCAGCACCAAAAGGACCAAGGCCACGCTCTTTTGCTTGATACCTGAGACCTTCAGTATCTGGCTCCAGATAAACTGGCCCCTTTTCTCCTCTTCCTCTCAAGTATCCTTCTCTCCTTCTACCTCAAAGTTTTTTTTTTTCTTTTCTTTGAATGGACTCTTGCCTCAGCTGAAATGTTATTTTCTTCTTTTTATTCCTGGCAAATCAGAAGCAGCACAGCTTGGTGGGCTCTGGATTGAGACTACCTGAATTCTAATCCTGTCTCTATCCTTTTCAATCTGTGAAACCATGGGCCAGTTACCTAACTGCTTTGTGCCTCAATTTGCTCACCTGTGAAATGGGCATAATAATGCTTCTTCCACTCAGCAGTCATAGTTCCTTAGGTTTGTTGTGAAGATTAAGAGCTAAAGCATATAAAATACCTGAAATAATATCTGATACACAGTAAGCATTCAGTAAATGTGGCTATAATGATAATAACTTTTAAAGACCCTCCTCTGTGAAGCCCTGGCATTTTACCACGCAGGATTAGCATTTCTCCTTCTGGGCTCCAAATAGGACTAACCATATGAGGCTCTAATTATTTATTCCAGAGTCTGAATTTACCACTGGTCTTAGCATTTCTAGAAGACAAGAAGTAAGTAGATTTTAGCAATAAGAGTAAGAGCATTTACATTCCTGTGTGCTAAGCTCTGTGACATATGACCTTTTCATGCAATTTTTTATTAAGACCTAATTCACATACTGTAACATTCACCCAGTTGAGGTGCACAATCTGGTGATTTTATTTCTTTCCTTTTTTATTTTAAAGATAATAAGAAAGCAATAAAAACAAGATAGAATGTCAAAGCAAGATGATAGGAAATTAACAATGGTTATTATATTGCATATTGTTATCTTCAAAGTAGTTGCTCAGATTGCCAGGTATAGGCATGTGAGATTGATCAAACAATATAAGCACTAACTGTTCCTTTCAATGAACCAATAGAAATTAGTAGTACAATTATATTAGCTCATATATATAATATATATAATATATACAATATATTATATATATTTATATATTATATATAATATATATATTATATATATTATATATATTATATATATTATATATATATATATAATTCCTTCCTTCTTTTCTCCCATTCCAGTTGTTTTTTCCTTTTAAGCAGTTTCTTTCCCTTTCACAATATCTGTGGTACTTCTTGGATCTTATTTACTCTTTCAGGTTCTTACACTAGGGAGGCAATACAATGTTTACACATGCAAGTTGGACTTATTTTACTTATGAGTATGGTCTCTAGTTGCATCCATTTACCTGTAAGAGTCTCAAGTTTATCTTTCTTTATAGCTCAGTAATACTCCATTGTGTAAAAACACCACATCTTTTTTTATCCATTCCCCAGTTGATGGGCTTTTGGGTTGTTTCCAAGATTTAGCTATGACAAATTGCACTGCTGTAAACATGGGTGCACATATATTGCTGTGGTATGATGTTTTTAATTCTTCTGGGAATATAACCAGAAGGGGAATAGCTGGGTCAAATGGGACATCTAATCCTAGTTTTTTGAGGAATCTCCACACTCATATTCAGAGTGGTTGTAACAGTCTTTACTCCCACCAACAGTGGAGAAGGGTTCCTTTTTCCCCATAGCCCCTCCAGCATTTGTTATTGGTTGATTTCCTGATGATAGCCATTCTTTCTGGGATAAAATGGAATCTTAGTGTTGTTTTAATTTTCATTTCTTGAATGGCTAATGATATTGAACATTTTGCATATATTTATTTGCCATTTGTATTTCTTCATCTGAGAATTACATTTTTGGATTCAGTCTTTGAATTTTGGGGGTCTTTTATAGAATCCTTTGTATGTTCTAGATAGAAGTCCTTTTTCTGAGGGACAGTTGGTTAAAATTTTTTCCCAGTTTGTGGGTTTTCTTTTCACTCTGTTGGTGATTTCTTTTGATGTGCAAAAACTTTTTAATAAGATGAGATCCCAATTGATTCATCGAAGTATTTCCCATGCAGTTCAGGTTTTGTTCACGAACTCTCTGCCTACCCTGTGTTTTCAAGATTTCTACCTACTTTCTCTTCCAGTAGATTTAGTGTTTCTGTTTTAATATTTAGATCTTTGATCCATTTAGACTTTACTTTTGTGCATAACCCGGTGGTTTTAGCATATGCAGAAGAATGCAAACTTCACCACTACCTAATTACTGAATGTTATGTAAGAAACCATGTATCCAGTAGCAGCCACTCCCCAACGTACCCTCCTCCATTTCCTATAACCACAGAACTGCTGCCTGCCTTTATGGATCTGTCTCTCCTAGAAATTTCATATAAAAAGAAACACATGATTCTGAGCACAATGTTTTCAAGATTCATCCATCCATCCTTATGATTTCATTCCTTTTTATAGCTGAGTAATGTTTCACTGTGTGGAGATACCACGTTTTGTGTATCCAGCAGTCAGTAAGCATTCGGGTTGTTCCCACTTTGGGGCCATTATAAAGGATGCTGCCGTGAGTAATCATGTGCAAGTTCTTGGTATGGACAAGTGCTTCCCTTTCTCTGGATATTATATTATGCTGAGGGGTAAACTTGATGGTTCTTATGGTACCTGTATATTGAACTATTTGTGGAAGGGCCAGACTGTTACAAAGCACCGGCACCATCTTACATCCCCACTGGTAGTGTGTGAGGGTTTGCATTTCTCCCTGTCCTCACCAGCACTGGTTACTCTGTCTTTTTTTACTGTAGGGAGTGGGAAGTGCCAGCTCATTGTGGCTTTGATCTGCATTCCTCTGACAGCTGATGCTGTTGAGTCTCTCTTCATGTGTTCACCATTTATTTGTATATCTTCATTGAAGAAATATCTTTTCACATCCTTTGCTCATTCTTAAATTGTGGTGTTTGTACTTTCATTGTGGAGTTGCTAAACCTCTTTATATATTTTGGATATAAAGAGGTTTTGCAATTCCACTTGCGAATATTTTCTCCCCAAGGTTGTCTCTTTGCTTTCTTAGTAGCATCCTTAGAGCCACCAAAGTTTTCATTTCGATGAAGTTCAGTTTATCACTTTCTTTCCTTTGCTGCTTGTGCTTTTGGTGCTAAACAACCGTTGCCTAAGCTGAGATCATGAAGATGTCCTCTACGCTTTTAGAAACACGATCTACTTTACGATAACCTTATGAAGAATAATGACTCTTCACAGAGTCGCTTCATGGATCAGGAAGCTGAGAGGTCAATGACAGAGTTGGGGTTTACACGCAGTTCCTCTGAACCCCAGGCACACCTTCCGGTGCCTCCTCCAGAGTCCCTTGCCCTCTGCATCCCTCACAGGACAGCGCCATGGCTGGTGCCCGGTAGTGCCCAGGTGGTGTGCCTTGGATGGATGAAGGACAGGCCCAGGAGGTGTGCGGGGTGCTCTCCCTGCTGGCTCGGGTGTCAGGCTTGTGCCTCTGTTGCACAGCTCACTGGGTGCTAAAGGTTACTGAGTGGCTCTGTCCTCTCCCTCCGCAGTGTCTCATTGTTGGCGGAGGACCTTGTGGCTTGCGCACTGCCATCGAACTTGCCTACCTGGGAGCCAAAGTGGTCGTGGTAGAGAAGAGGGACACCTTCTCCCGGAACAACGTGTTGCACCTCTGGCCTTACACCATCCATGACCTGCGGGGCCTGGGAGCCAAGAAGTTCTACGGGAAGTTCTGCGCTGGCTCCATCGACCACATCAGTGAGTGGGGTCATGATCCAATGGGGTTGGGGGGCACATCTGTCCCCATCCTGGAGTCCCAGATAATTCCTGTGAGCAAGCCCCTGGGGGCTCCATCCATCCAACTAGCAGGCATCTCCTGAGGCCCTGCTGTGTGCCTTGTTCCAGGTCCGGTGCAGTGCCCTGCCAGGCTGTAAGCACCAGGATGCCAGGGATGTGTCCCATTCCCTGGTGTCTCTATCCCCAGGCCACAGCAGGGTGCTTGACCCATAGTGGATCCTCAGTAAACATCTGCTGAATGAATGAATGAAATACGGAAGCCAGAGGTAGGAGTAAGTGGCAGAGCCCACCCTGTAGGGAACTCACCGAGATTTTGTCAATAATAAAATGTGGCTTCCTAGCATCAGTCACTCTTCCCATTTAATGTGCCAAATAACTGAGACCTGGAATAAAGGAGTTTGGACACTGTATTGCTGGTGCTGAGGAGCCATAGAAGGTCATAGAACAGGAATGACACAATTGGAGTGACATTATCTGATAAATCTAATACTAAGGTTTCCTGGAGCTTTAAAGAGAGACGACTTCAGGGAGAGCAGGGAAGGAAGTGGGAACCGTGCACCTCGGGTCCGGGCATCGCTGAGCACTCAGGAGAACAAAGCCCATCGCTCTAGGACCGGGCCTCTCTGGGTGAGGTCTGGGCAGCCTGGTCTTGGGGAAGGCAGAATCTCTCTGCACAGCTTTGTGGCAGGGTGGTCTTTAGCCATTTTTGTATGGCAATGGTGACCTATGAAAATGAAGGCAAGTACAAGTGTTTGTGTCCACATGGTTCCAAAATCTGTCTCTTCAATTTCTATCTGACTGGAGACACATCCCTTATCGTCTTCAAGCCAAAGTTTCAGCCCCTGTAAGGTGTGATTGACATGTGTCTCCCAGGACTGCTAGGGTTAAATGATGTCCAGTTTGTAACATGCCTAGTGCCATGCCTGGCACATAATAGGTGCTCAGAAAAACGCCTTGCCCCTAACGATGTATAGTGCTCAGAAAGCAGCTGCGGTGCCCAAGCTTGAGAATCCTGAGCTGCGTTTTCTCAGTCAGTGCTTTCCTGTGGGGGTGGGTGAGAGAGGAGCCGCAGAGCCACATTCCTATAAGGACAAGAAGTGGTGGGAAAAGGAGTAGGTTTGGGGTGGGAATGGCTGGAGAGAATTATCGGCCACAGAGGGTGTAATTTATTCAGATGCAGGGAAATTTACCAGCAGTGGCCTGAGTTTATTCCCGCTTTAGGATGAGAAAATCCCAAGAGTCCAGTGGAAAGAAAGTTGGATTTGCCCAGAAAGCTGCCGCATCAGCTTTCAGGATGATCTGTCCCACCCAGGAAGAATGAGCCACTTACAGATGTAGGGCGATGGCACTGAGCACTGCTTTCTTATTGGTTCCCCTGAAAGCAGGGCCGCTGGCTGGGGCCCTGGGCAGAGCCCATCCTGCCTGCATCGTTGGGGCCCCCGTTTAACCCCTAGTCCTTGGGAATATCGCAGTGTATGATGTTCTAACAATGAGACACTAACAATGAGACTGCGGCAATGGGATGATCCTTGTCAAGGCTCCAGGCCCTGTGAGAGGAGGGAGAATGTATTGAGCACCTACTGTATACAGGCTAGGAACCTCCACGGGATGAGGTCTCCTGGGAACTACTTTCATGGCAGGAACTGGACTGGGCTCATTAAAGCCAGCTGATTGGCCTCCATTCAGACCATCTGTGGTCTCCAAGCCCAGCTGTGTCCTCATGCTCAGCGGTTCTCAGTGGCCTGTGCTGGGGCCTCCGCCACCTCCCTCAGCAGTGTCCCAGCTCCACCACAGCCCCCTCCTTAGCCACCGACCTCCCTCCTGTTCTCAGGGAAGACAGGCTCCCTGTTCCAGCCTCTTCTTCCTCCTTCCTCCTCCTGAGGACCCCTCCTTCCTCAAGCCTCATTCCCAACTCTAGCTCCCCTTTGAGGGCGTCTCTATCCATAGTCCTGCTCCTCACCTCCCCCTGTGCCTCCAGCCCTTTCCTTCCACTACTCTCGAAAGAGGAGGTGTGGACAGCCCATGCACACTCAGCTCCCCCATGGCAGTTTGAATCCGCCCCACCACCATGCTGAAGAGATTTTCACCCAAGTCTCCAGAGGCCTCCTGGCTGCCAGGTGCCCTGGCCTCCTGTAGCTTGGCAGGGCTCCATCTCTCTATGGGATACGATATTCTTGCTTCCTCCTCTCCTGGGTGCCAGGACCCTGGCTCAGGCCTTGTTCTGCCTCCACCACCACCCCAGCCACCATGTCTGCCCCATTCGGTTTACCTGTGTCACCTCCGTGAGGTGTCCCCGTCTCCTATGCCGAACACAACACCTGGCCCATTGTAGATTCTGATACATGCTAAGGAACCTAAACGCACTGTCTTGGTTACTTTTCTCTCATTGCTGAGACAAAATAGCCAACACCCAAAATTAGGGAAGGAAAGGTTTATTTAGCTCACAGTCTGTGGAGGTTTCAGTCCATAATCAGCTGGCTCCAAGGCAGGGTGGCACATGGCACACGGGCAACAGTTCGAGGTGACAGAAGACAGCAAAAGCAGCAAGAGCAAAATGGGGGGAAGCAAGCCTGTTTTCCTCCCGTGTTTTGTAAGCAGACTATCCCACCTCCAGGGCGGGTGTAACATTCACACCATCTCCACGCCCTCCTCTTGCACAGGATGAGGATGTTTTCAAAGTGAGGACCCTGGCCCCCTGCTGAGTCTCTTAGTTAAACTTCTAAGCTTCTCAAATTGACACAGTGTATCAACCATTACACCTACTGAGTGAAGAGGGGCACAGAAGCTTCCACTCCTCACTCTGCAGAGGAATATTGGGAGAGATGCCATTTGCACTGAATGTCAGGTGACCAAATAGAGAAGTGAGGCTGTAGTTAATGGGAGAGTTTGGAAGAGTGAGTAGAAGGGGGAGAACTGTGAGTCCAATGTTGTGTGTGGAATTTCCCACTCCACCTCTTGCCATTGTAGGGGGGAAGAGCTCAGGTGTAGGACCTAGATAAGGAGGTCATTGATCACTGACTGCTCCTCCTTCCCACTCCCTGTCCCCTTCTCCCTGCCCCTCCCCCTTTATCTTACAAAGCCCAGAGCCAGTTCAAAAAGGAGGCAGGAAAGACAGAGTCTGCCTCCATGTGACATTGTTGAACCTCTAGGGCTGGGCTGTCCAATCCCACAGTCTGCTTTTGCCTCTGTGTGACACTGAACAAGTCATTTAGCCTTGTAAAACCTCTATTTTTCATCAGTAAACTGAAAATAACAATGCTCCCCTAGTGTCACTGTAAGGTTAAAAGAGAAAACAGAGGGCTTAGCCCCACGCCCAGTAGCAATCACTGTTGGCATATTGCTGTGCTGGGATCCCTGAGCAAAAGTTGTATGGTATTCTGCATACAGGAGGAGTTCAAGCACTGCTCCCAACAGTTATCTCTCTTCTCCCTCCTTCTAATAGGTATCCGTCAACTGCAGCTCATCCTGTTCAAGGTGGCCCTGATGTTGGGAGTTGAGATCCACGTGAATGTGGAGTTTGTGAAGGTTCTCGAGCCCCCTGAAGATCAAGAAAATCAAAGTAAAGCATGCTTTTCCTTTTCTGTCTCAGACTCACACACTGCAAACTGGAGGTTACATATGAGGGTCTCAGAAGATGGTTCCACAAGTTACTTTTATCAGAAGCCATTTGGCATCATTCCGTCATTGGACAGTTTACCTTTTCTGACCATTGCTGTCACTTTAGCTTTGCTCTTCAGCTCCCAGAAGACTTATCATTAAGTCACCAAACCTATAATTTGATTACCCTGTCCCTATGAGGTGCTGCTTTGACAAATCCAATCAATAGCAGAAAAGAAGACAAAGGCGTGGTTTTTTGAATGAAGTTCATTCACATGCACTTCAACCTACGTGGCTCACACGTAGAGATGTGAGTTCACTGTTGCACCTGCAAAATATTGTAAAATCCAGCAAAGAAAACAAGGCTTCTAGAGCAACAATGAAATAAAAGTTCTAGCTATTTCAGGGCATATCCTATGTAACTGTATTGAAATTTAATTTACAAATCGTAAAATCACCCATGTAGGTGTGTCCTACTGAGTAATGCTTCCCTTTTCCCTCTTAGTGTGTTTATTTAAATTCTGATCCTCTATACACACCATGGTCAGAGTTTGGTCAGGACCCTCTGCACTTTACTTAGTGTCAATGTCTTCTACCGCCTGGGAAGGGATTTGAGCTTTGAGCTAGTTTAACAGGAGAGGCCTTTTACCTTCCTGCTTATGCCAGACCTCTGGCCTCTCCTGTCCTCCACCCCACATGTTCGAGAGTTTGGGGGGCTTTTCAGACTTGTGTAGAAGGACAGCATTGTTACCTGGCCCTCAGGGACTGGTGTGCTCCTCCCCGTCCCTGTGCCTCTCGTGGACACCCCATCCGGACTCTGAGGAGCCAGCTGGCCTCACCTGCAAACGCTCCTTTAAAAGGCAGTGCACCGTGTGACCGAACATTTTAAGCTAGAAGGAGCTGATAATCAAACTTGTTTTGTGACGCCCTGCACACCCTTTGGGGTCTATTTAGCAAAGGAAGGCCCTGAGGAATCCTAGGGAACATGAAGAGAACTCAGTAGACTCTGGGGAGAATAACATGGTGCAAGGGACTTGCACTGGGGAATCATTAAGGACAGATTCCCGGCAAAGGTCAGTCAAACCGGCTACAGGGCTGGCGTTGCTGGTTTACTTTCCTGACTGAACTTGTTCTAAACCACAGGAGCCGGGTTTCCTCCCGAGGCTCAGCCTGGGGTGCACTCTCTGTCCATTTCTCATGGCCGACATCACTGTCTGCCCACCTCTATCAGCTCATCTCTTCTTTCTGTCCTGGTAGAAATTGGCTGGAGAGCAGAATTCCTCCCCACAGACCACGCCCTGTCGGAGTTTGAGTTTGATGTCATCATCGGTGCGGATGGCCGCAGGAACACCCTGGAAGGTGAAGGCTCTGCTTCTTGGGATGGAGCTGGGGTGATGGGGGTGAGCAGCAGGGCTGGAGAAGTGTGGGAAAAATGGCAGATGCCAGTGCTGGAGGGGTTCTTGAAAGCAGGGCAGACTGTCCTGCCCTGGCTGAGACTGAGTGTCCCATCCTTCTGGGAGGCTGAAGGTATAGAGGACAGCCATGCCCTTCTCTCTGGACCTCAGTTGTTCCACCTATAAAGTGGGTACAGAGCCCTCTCCAGGCTGCCATGAGGACTGGGAATAATGGGTGTGTAAAAATGCTTTATAAAAGTCCAGTGCTGTGGGAAAAATCAACATACATTTGAGCACCTGCTGATGAGCAAGCCAAGTGCTGGGCACTTTCATACTTGTTTCGTCTAAGATAAACATTCCGTGCTATTAATGGTATGCATTCGTGTTCACATACACTCTAAGGGAAGGAGGAGCCCCTCTCCTTTCATAACTCTTAAGCACACTCACTGCTCCGCAGTTAGATAATGTCTGCCAGGCTGCCGGGGTGCAAAGCCATGCTTGTCTGGATCCTAAGCAAGACGGGCTTTCAAGTCAGGGTGAGACGGAACCTCCACTGCCAGCAAACATGTCAGCCTGCTCCACCCCAGCCCCGGGTTAATTAGGCCACATTTTGTACTAATCCATACTAAGGGTTCTAATTTGAGACTACGGATTGCTAACAACATGGCCTCAAATAGCGCCTGTTAGACTCAGGACAATTCTACAGTTCTGCGAACTTGCCCCCCAGCTACCACAGCTGCAGATATCTGGGCCTGGGAGGGCATCTTCTCTGAGAACAGAACATATGCCCTGGAGCAGGACTGAGCTCAGGAAGCTCAGGATGTCTGCTCCTTCTAGCTCAGGCCCCTCCTATCTGCCATACGTCCAGTGCCATTTGCCACACCTACAGCTTGTCACCGCCATGCCCATTTCTAAGGTGCCAATCCGGATGTCTCACTCTTAGAATATTGGGTAATTTTGGTGACTTAATAAAATTTAAGTCTGAATATCTGAAAATTAAGGATCTACACTCAGCTCGAGCATTTTAGGAACATGAAAGGAAGGGAAGGGAGAATAGAGCCATCTAAGGATCTTGGCACCAGATAGGTGAGTCAGGGCAGAGGTTCTCAGTATTGGTGCTATTGACCTTTAGGGCCACACAGTTCTTACTGTGGGGTTATCATTCTTTGCCCACAATGCTTAGCAGTATCTCTGGCCTCTATTCAGTAGATTCTAGTAGCAACCTACCGGAAATTTCTCCACACATTGCCAAGTACACTCTGAGAGACAAAATCACCCCCAGTTGAGAAATACTAGATTAGAGAATAATGGCCATTTCTGATCCTTTGACAAAGGTGTAATGAAGAATAGTTTGAAGGAAGGGTACTGTGTAGGTGAGTTTTCCTGTTGCTGGGACAAAGGACCTGACACTTAAAAGAGAGGTCTATTTTGGCTCACAGTCAGTGGGTTCAGTCTATGGCTGGCTGGCTCCAAGGAAAAAATGGCATGGTGGAAGGGTGTAGTAGAGGAAAGCTGCTTATATCATGGCAAGAAGGAAGCAGAGAGAGAAAGGAGAAGCCAGGGACAAGAATACACCCTTCTAGCTCATGCCCCCAGTGACCTCCAACCAGGACCTTAACAATACATGTAGCTACTGAACTCATCAGTGGATGAGTCCATGATCCCAATCACTTAGACCCAACCACCTGGATCCCCACAGTGAACACTGTAGAGCTAAACCATACAAGTACTAAATAGAAACCCAAGGTTTCTGTCAAAGGAATTTTGGATGGAGAGCATTTCCTCATGGTGAGAATCATGAGGGGAAAGTTATGTCTGAGTCTCTACCTATATGATAGTGTAGTGCCTTCATCTATTTTGTGTTGCTATAACAAAACACTTGAAGCTGGATAATTTATTGAGAATAGATATTTATTAAGCCCATGTTTTGGAGGCTGGAAAGCCCAAGAGCATGGTGCTTCTTAATCAAAATATGGTAGAGGATATTACATAGCCAAGCAAGTTTGTAACAAAGCCACTACCAAGATCACCTGCTTGTTAATCCATTAATTCATGAATGGATTAATTTATTTTTGAAGGCAGAACCCTTATGGCCCAATCATATCCCAAAGACCCTATCTCCAAATTGCACTAACATATGAATTTGGGGATTAAGTTTCTAGCACATGGATTTGGGGCAACACAGTCAGACCACAGCAGTGGGTACCTGTGGTCAATGAAATGAGCAGTATGCCTGTGGCAGGGGGAAATTCCAGGACTCCTGGAAACATCAGATGCATAGAAAAAGGAGGAGAAGGAGTAGATGCTATTGAAATATGACCCCCTGCTGTGATCTGTTGACTCACCACCATTCAAAAAGATGTTCATGCAAACCACTGAAAACCAAGAACCCTGAGCATAAGCTCTGATGCTCTATTGTACAGTAGGGTGGCCATAGCTAACAGTAATGTTCTGTACCACTCAAAATACCCAGAAGAGGAGATTTTGAATGGTCTCATCCTAAAGAAATGAATGTTTGAGGCAATGATGTGCTAATTACTATGATTTGATCATTGCTTAATATACACTGTAACCAAAGTACCACACTGTGTGCCATAAATATTTAGAATTATGTGTCAACTTCAAAAAAATAATAAAACTTTAAAAAAAGAGAGACTTGAGGAATTAAGAGTGCTGTACTAAATTAATTGCTAGTTAGAAATCTCCCTATTCATTATGTATTTTTTGGATGTGGACTGAGCGCCAGTCACTGGAATTCCATTGGTTTCCTGGGGCTGCCCCTACAAAGTACCACAGTGGCTTGGACAGCACACAAGGATTGCCTCATAGTCCTGGTGGCTGGAAGTCCAAGATCAGGCCTTCTTCGGAGTGGTCTTTCTGATGAAGAACGGCTTCCCTGCCTCTCCCCTAGCTTCTGCTGTTTTCTGCAACCTTCAGTGTTCCTTGGCTTGTTGAACACCACCCTCATCTGAGTCTCCATCCTCACATGAAAGTCTCCCTTTGTGCATTCCGTGTCCCGCTTTCCCCTGTGTATAAGGACATCATTCATATTAGAGTAGGGCCCCCTTACTGCAATATGACTGCATCTTAACTAATTAGTTCTACAGTGACATTGTTGTCAAATAAGGTCACATTCATCCTACTACCGAAGTACTAAGGTCGAGAACTTCAATAGGTGAATGTACAGCTGGGGGACACAACACAACCCATAACAAATGGAGATATAAAAAAAAGTGTTAAAAATCCCTGATCTGTATGAATTCAGTCTAATAATCCTACTTTAAAAAAAAAAACAAAAACATGAAAAAGGCTAACAACATGGTTAGAACCATGCAATTCCCAGTGCTGTGGCTCCCCATGGGTGTCACTGCAACGTGCCCATCACGTCCTAGGAGGCTGAGCCCTGTGACTATCTGCTGGAGACGGTCACTTCAGCCATTCGTTTGTCAGTGCCTAACTAAGGGATTGGTCCTGCAGAATTTGGAAAAGGGCAGAATCCCACTGACTTCAGAAGTCACTGGTGACATGCATCCTGCTTGGGAACAAGCCTGGCATTTCTGCCAGTTTCCATTCTCTTGGGTCCAGAATCCTAGTTTCCCTGGCTGCCAGGCACCAGGAGTAGTCGTCTCTATCCTGCTTCAGTGTTCACACCAAAGCCAGAGGTGGACTCACCCGTCCCTCTCCTCATGCAGGGTTCAGGAGGAAGGAATTCCGCGGGAAGCTGGCCATCGCCATCACCGCCAACTTCATCAACAGGAACAGCACGGCTGAGGCCAAGGTGGAAGAGATTAGCGGGGTGGCCTTCATCTTCAATCAGAAATTTTTCCAGGACCTGAAAGAAGAAACAGGTGAGCCTTCCGCTTTCCAAAGCTGGCCCTTGTCTGTGTTTTTTTTTTTTTTTTAACAGGCCCAAAAGGGAATGCTGGCTTCCAGGGCTGCTGGATTCAAATGTGTGGAAGCAGAGATTTCTCCTTAGGATGGGCAGGGTTCCTCCAAAGGACAGGAGAGTTTCTTGAGAGAATCTTCTAGATATTGTTCATGAATATAGATAACAAACAGAGAAAATAAGCATGAATTTATTTCTTCAGTACACATTTACTGAGTGTCCATTGTATGCCAGTGCTCAGAACTATGGGGTGCAAAGTCAAGGATGACGTGATCCATCTGAAGTAGCTCCCTGTCTAGGAAGGAAACCCATATGCAGCCCCCCAAGGCAGGGTGGTCAGGTGTGCCAGGGGTCAGTGTGAGGTTCAGGCAGCTCTCTGAGAAGGGAGCCAGCAGCAAGGGGGTGGTGCCTGAAGAAGCCTAGGTGCTTTACTGTCCTGCATCAGCTGCCCCTCCCAATGAGGGACATCTAGGGAGGCCCACTGTGGCAGCAGTTGTTACCAGCCTTGGCCCTGGAGGACAGAGGACACTGATTCATTCGCTTCACAAATATTTATTAATGCTTTCTGCATGTCAGATGCTGATCTTAGGCCTGAGCTGGAGAAATGAATGCAACAACATCCCTCTCTCCTGGGCCTTACGTTCTATGGGGGTGGGTGGCATGAAACAAATAAACCAGTGGTGCTTGAATTGGCGATAAAGATGGTGGAGAAAAGCAAAGCAGGGTGAGGGAGAAGAGTGAATCACCTGTTCCCATTCAAGTCAGTTCCAGATTTTGTTCCTTTCTTTTTAACCTTACTGAAAATGTACATTTTTCTTTGAAAAGGCAGTCTAACAACAATGTTAGATGCAATCTTTATACCAAAAATAAGTCACCCTCTGTCTGACCATCTGACCATGAAGGAACATCTTCATGGTCATATAATCTTCTTCAGTAATTTCCCACCTGCATGTTTACTTTTTCATGGCTCTAGCACTAAGCCTGGTCCCCATATTCTTTGTCATTCTTTGTTCATTTAGTATCACATGTTAAATTTTGTCCAATTTCTCATTTGCTCATTTAATATCACATTTTAAGCATAATCCTCCTCCTGGTCACTTTTGGAAGCCTCAGGATATGTCATCAAGTATGTAAGTTTACCTAAGTATTTAAGCCAGGAAGTAGCAGATATATGGCTGGCCACATGTTTTGTGAAGAATGCTTGTATATTTTTAAAGAACTGAAGAAAAAGATCAAAAGGATAATATTTTGTGATACACGGAAAATTATATGAAATTCACATTTCAATGTCCATAAATACAGATTGGCAGAACGTAGCCCTGCCCGTTTATTTACATTATTGTCTGTGGCTGATTCCACCACGGGTGCTTATGATGGAGACAATATAGCCTTTGTTCTATATCTGGCCTTTTAGAAGAACAGATTTGCTGACCTCTGATTTAGACCTTGTATTACTTGCATTACTGTTATAGGTGAAACTCCTATTGAATCTCTTCTCTAAGTTCATTTTCTAGGAATGGGATTTGTGACTGAGCCAGACCATGCCTCTTGCTGGCCGCAGTGACATACGCCTGTCACATGACCCTCTGAGGTTCTCTACAGTAGCATAAGTTTTTTTAGTTGTTTTTCAATTTGTATTTTTATTAGTGTCTCTTTGTAGTACATAATGATTATGCTCACTGTGGGGAGCAGGTACATATACATAACATATCTCAATTCTTCATCACCTTCTTCCACTCTTCTCCCCTGTCTCTCCATTTCTTGATCCCCTTCCTATTTGCAAAAGGTGTGTCTCTCTATTTCCTGTGATCTGTCGTTTATTTTTCTCTTTATGTATACTTTTCTCTTCATGTATTCTTATGTAATGTTTAAGCTCTTGTGTCTGATTTATTTTACTTAACATTATGGCCTCCAGGTGCATCCATTTTCCTACAGAGGACTCAATTGACTCTTCCTTCTCCTAGGGTGGTACTCCATTGTGTGCAAATATCACGTTTTCTTTACCTGTTCATCTATCAGTGGGCATATAGGCTACTTCCGAGACTTAGCTATTATGAATTGTGCTACTATAACCATGGGTAAGCATGTGTCATTATGATATCTTCAACAGGAAAAAAGGAACCCTTCTACATTGTTGGTGGCAATGTAAACTAGTATAACCATTATGGAAATTAATATGAATATTCCTCAGAACAGCTAAATTCTATTTGACCCTACTGTTCCCCTTCTGGGTATCTTCCAGTTGCATTATTTTTTTAAGTGTTTTAGTATTTCCTTCCAGCATAGTATGGCTTTTTGAATGATTGAAGAATTCTCTAACCCTTCCTTCCCCTCAAAATCCAAGAAAACAAATATTTAAACCACCAACTATAAATTAGGACAGATGTTGTGTGTTTTTCCAGATATTTTAATGAGCTTCCTTCAAACTCCATGGTGGTTGTCACCTTCAGCCATTGTTTCACAGCAGGGCAGTTGCACGGGACAGAGGTGAACTTCCTCTTATTCTCTTGGGGGCCCTCTGTACGATGGCTCTTTCCTATTTAACAGTAAAAAGGCATTCCTATGGTAACCCAGCATGCCTTGTGGAGGATGCTGATGGGTTGTCAAGTATCTGTTTCTTTCCCTTCAAAAAAATTGTGCCAGTGCTGGGGTTCTAGTACAGTGGGAGAGCACTTGCATAGCATGTGTGGGGCCCTGACTTCCATTCCCAGCACTGCCAAGAAAACAGAAGAGCTAAGCCAGTGGTTCTCCAACTTTCCAATCACCTGGGGAGCTTGTTAGAACACAGGCTGCTGGCCCCGTCCCCAGAGTTTCCAATTCACTGGGTCTGGCATGCGGGATTGATCATTTGCTTTTGTACTAAGTTCTCTGATGAACTGGTGCAGCTGGCCAGGGACCACCCGAAGCTCTCATCTCACAGCACGGCTTTAAATGCAGAAACCTAGTATGTAAGAGGGTTTGCAGTTGGTAGAAAATGCAAGCTACAACCCAGGCCTCTAACGTGAATCATTCCTACCAGTTCACCTGGGTTTTCATGTACAGGGAGATAGAGGATTCCCACAGCCCTAGCCAGCTCTGGCCACTTGGAAGGCATGCTGGATGGGACTTGTGGCCATACAGGCTTGGATTCTAATTCTGCTGTGTCATTGCTTAGCGATCATGGCCTTGACCATGGCCAGCTCTTGACCTTCTGCAGCACTTCTTACCCAGCTCTGGTCTACAAACCCCAATAGCTGTTTATGAGTTTTAGAAGAAACAGTGTCATCCTGTGACTGTCAAAGCTAGATGCTTTGACTTGGGTAACTTCTGGCCTCCTGTGTTATCTTTCCCAGCCTTGTACTGTATGTCTGAAACATGAGTCTCACATGAATATTGCGCAGACAAATAATGAGACCTGTATAATGAAGCAAAGTCCAGTTCCTAGTACACGGTGGGCACTGGGAGGTTAACTGAGTCTGTGAATACTTCTCTTTTTAGGGATCGATCTAGAGAACATTGTTTACTACAAGGACTGCACCCACTATTTTGTCATGACTGCCAAGAAGCAGAGCCTGCTCGACAAAGGTGTCATCATTAATGTACGTACCTCTTGGCTGTAACTGCTCACCTGTCTTCCCCGTGGTAACCGGGGCTGGCAGCATCAGCAGGTGTGGGGGAAGACATTGTCCTGGTTGATCAAGGGGAGGAGGGGAATGGACCACTTGTTCGTCGCCTTCCTTGCCCCGGGCACTGCATGAGCCTGTGCCCCTACCCGCAGGGATGTTTCTGCAGAGGTCTGTGGTACCCCGGTAACGTGGGTCAGCATAGCCTTTGACTTCTGCAAGTCTCATTTGGCCGTGCCCCTTCTCTGCAATGTGGTATGTCACTTGGAGACAGATGGGGGTTCCTTGTCATGCTGGGACATACTTGTGCATTCCTCACTGGTCCCCTTGCCATGATGTGGGGGAAGATCACTAGAGATGTAATCAGAAAGACATGAGCGGAAGCGTGGCTCTGCCACATATGGACTCAGGGTCCTGGGCGAGCTGCTTATAATTTTTCTGAGCCTCACTCTTTGTATCTGCCACACAGGAGTGATCGTTTCTGTCTGAAAGTATACTTGAACAGGGCAAATAAACACGCATGTATGCACACAGCGCCTCGCACAGCCTGGCCTGTGAAAGGTGTGGAGATTCCCTCTGTCACTGTGGCCTTATTTGGATACCTGCTCTTGTGTGCTGTGACTTCTTGGCTTCTGTTTTGTGGCTCCGCATCTCCTAGTGTAAGCAGAGAACTGGGTTGGGAGGCAGAAACCCGTGGGGTGTCGGTTCTTGGGCTGGCAGCTCCATCGGTCAGGCCTCAGCCCTGGCAGAGCCCTATTCTTGTTGCTGCTGCATCCTCACGATAAGGATCGTGCAGCCCCGGGCCAGCTGCTGTCCGGGTCCAAGCCTAGCGCCGGGTAGCTTGGGACTATTCCCTGCTGTTTCTCAGTGAAGAATGTGCCTGTCTTCTCACTAGCTTATGCTGGCAGCTGGTCGGGTGCGTTAGTAACCCAGCCTTCCCCTGGGCCTCTTCCCTAAGGCTTCAGGTCTTTGCTGCGACCTGAGCTTACACAGAACTGGTGGAACACGGCAGCTGAAGTGTGGGCACTGGGCTCAGACTCTGGAGCCCACTTCTGTCTGTCTGTCTGAGGAGGTAGCATCCTGTCTTCCCTGTGCCCCCAGGAGTCCACCCTAGGGTTGTCCCCTCATTCTGGAGCTGTACCAGATAGGACAAAGCCGTCCCAGAACTGTCACCATAATGGGTGACTTTGCAAAGAGAACCTGGACAGTCGGGCAAAGTATGACTTGGGTTTTGTGATCCACTGGCCAAGTACTCAGCCTGCTGGGATACTGAAGTCACCTTCAGATCATCTCAGCACCTTTGTCCTGGCAATGGCATATTGTTTGTGGTGCTTTGGCTCCTTGAAAATTGTCAAAGCCCCTCCGCATTCCCATCTCAGGCTCTCTCACAGCACAGGTGGACGAGGATGACTTAATCTGCTCTCATCTTACCCTGGAAGAGCAGGGAGTGTATCCCAGGCCCTGACTGGGATACACTCCCAGCTCCTCCTTCTCCCTCAGGGAGAGCACCCCTGAATACATCCTTATTCCCACCTCTGCTCAGAGGTTCTGCTCCTTCTGCATCCACCCACGTACCTGAGACTCCCAGTGCAGCAGCCTGGGGCAGATGGGTGCTCAGCCACGTGCAGCCTGGAGGTCTGCTTTCTCAGCCAGGTCCCTGCACTCCTGCTTGGGGTGTCCACACTGACGGTGTCTCCACTGCATGGTGTTTATACTCACAGCTCTCCAGGTCCCCTGTAGTGGGGCCGGGGCCTGTTGTAGGGAGGGGAAATGTGTGAGATCTCCATTTGTTCTTCCCTCAATTCATCTCCACACCTCTAAGGGACACCAGTGATCATGTGACTCTAGGAACAAGTACCAGAAAGGAAACCACTAACAAAAACTCCATCCTGACCCTGGACTCCCAGGCTGATGCTGGGTACAGTCTGGTGGGGGGCGAGGGGGGAATGTGGAAATATTAGATTTTCCCAATGTATTTGAAGTCAGAAAACTAAAGACAAGAGGTCACCGGATATAGATGAGACTGCACCTTACTGATGCCTTGACGGGTCCCAGTGACACTTTGCTGTGTGCCACCTTCTGTGCCAGCATGAATTACTGGGGCAGGCACTGTCACTCCCTGAGCACATCCCACATGCCAGGCATGGGGCTACAGGTTTTATGTGTACAGTGTCAGACAGTTCTCCTGGCTCTGAAGTACATTTTATTGTTCCCATTTTACAGGAAAGAAAAGAGACTCAGAAGTAAGTCAGACAGCTCACAGAACTTATAGTTAGAGAGTGGCTGTGTTAAAATTTGAAAAGTGCACCGGCAGACCCAAAAGCTGTGTTCCTCTTATACCCTAGTCCTCCTTCCCACCAACGTGTGTGTACTTTTTGTGTCATCTTTGAGAAATGTGGCCTTTTAGCTTCTTTAGCCACAGATCAGACTTCTAGATTATTCTAAACTTCTTCCATCTCTGACATACTGTTAGACATCCAACAGGAGGGGTTTCCTAGTCTTCTAAGCTCAGGGTCTCTGCCCCAGCAGGAAAATAGAACAAAAAACACCTTAACAGCAAAACCAAGCTGTTCGCAGACCTCAGCCTCACTGGAAGAGGAGTAACTGAATCTGGAAAGGAAGCGAGAGAGTTATGTCAAGCACCTGTGTTTTTTCCCTGGTCTTGTTTGACTGCTAAGCGTAGCGTGTCTGGACCACATTAACCTAACTCAGGGGATTATTAAGTCACATTTACTGACTTGTTCTTTTGTCTTTTAATCATGTTAAAAGTTATCACAAGAGCCAGCCATACCGAATGTGCTCCTTCTTGGCTGCAAGACCATTATAAAGAACACTGTTCATGACAATCCTCTGTGTTCTCTGTTGAAATTCCTAGGGAGACAAAGCTTTTAGAATTTAGTGCCAGGAAAAGATTGCCTCCCTGAGGAACTGCTATACTTCCTTCTTTCTGATAAGGAAAGCCCTGTAACATATCACATTTCCCTTTTGCTGTGGATGCCAGGAAGCCCTTGATGTTTAATCACAGCTGTGTTAACCCTCACAGCTGGCCGATTTGCTTCTGCTTTATGTCTCCTTGGCTCTGATTTTCTGTTTCTCCTTTCACTAACCTCACTGTATAGACTCACTCCAAGTCCTTTTGCCTAACAGTGGATATGGATCCCAGCCCCTCAGAGGAAAAGTTTGCAGCCCCGTGTTTTAATCTCCCCAGGACTACATCGACACGGAGATGCTGCTGTGTGCGGAGAACGTGAACCAGGACAACCTGTTGTCCTATGCCCGGGAAGCTGCAGACTTTGCCACCAACTACCAGCTGCCATCCTTAGACTTTGCCATGAACCACTACGGGCAGCCTGATGTGGCCATGTTTGACTTCACCTCCATGTATGCCTCCGAGAATGCTGCCCTGGTGCGCGAACGGCAGGGACACCCGCTACTCGTGGCCCTTGTGGGTGACAGCTTGCTTGAGGTACTGCCTGTGTTTGGAGCTCCTCGCTTCTGCTACAGGAGAGGTTCCTGTGTTGAGGCTCTGCCTGGCAGCTTCTGTGGTCACGCATCCCGGGGAAGTGCTGGCTCTTGGCCAGGGTTGGGACTCCGCCAAGGCTGCCTGGCCCCAGAGCCTCTCCAGTCAATACCCAGGCACCTGTCTGCCTATGTGTGGGTGGCACAGCTCTCTCTCTTATCTCTGGCTTTTTCTGGGCTGACTTTGTCAAAGTACAAATTGGGAAGCCCTGTCTGGACCATGAGGCATCCTTCTCAGAGCCTTGAGCTGGCTGAGACCTCTTCCCCCCATGGGGGACCCTTTATGGCCTTTCCGTGGGGAGCTTTTACAGGGAACAACAAGAGAGGTGTGGAGCCCCAAAGCCCAGTTTTTCAGCCATGGCCTCCCTGGTCAAATCTGCAAGCACAAGGACCCTTAGATTAAGTGGATATTTTTTAGAAGAGATACAAGTTTATGATAATGTAAGCACTGAAGAGTGTTTTTGTATTTATCCCGGGTTAAGCATCCAATTCCAATCCATGCTTTGTGGGTGCTGGTGGAGCGAGTTGGACTCAGCTCAGCTGAAACGCTCTCTGTTCACCATTGTGTGTGGACTCACAGCTTGGGCCTGGGTTGAGCCCACAGCACCCGTCTGCTTCTACCCAGCCCTGCCACCCAGCCTCCCCTCCTCACAACACTCTTATGCACTGTGCTACGTCATCAGCCAGGCTCTTCTCCCCTCAGGCTCTGGCATTTTCTAGGCACTGAGCCTTTGCCCACACCGCTCCCAATGGCCCCTGATTAGAATCCAGCAAGTCTTGAGAAATCAGCGTACCTCTTTCAGGAAGTGTCTCCTGATTTCTTCCTCCCTCTGCCAGAGCCCTCAGCAGCTGTGCTGTGCACCTGTCCCCCACCCTCAGATTTGACTCTGTGCCACAGCTGCTTGTGCTCATAGTGAGCCTTATGGGCAGCAGTGCTCCTGCCCTGTCCCTTCCCACCCCTCCCGTCCCTCAGGCTGGCAATCTGAGCGTGCTGGGCAGAATGGGACAGTATACTGTGAGGCATCCATATCAACTGGAATTTCGCATGGGTTCTTTTGTAGCCATTTTGGCCCATGGGTACAGGCTGTGCCCGAGGCTTCCTGGCGGCTTTTGACACAGCATGGATGGTGAAGAGCTGGGACCAGGGGACGCCTCCCCTGGAAGTGCTGGCCGAAAGGTGAGTTGTGAGAGCAGAGCTCCTGGCAGGAGGCAGGCTGGGTCACAGTCTCAGTCAAGAATTGGGTCAGAGCAGCTGTACCTGGAGTCTCCATCTTGTGCTCATCTTTCCCCATGTGCCCTGATTTCATCCTCGGCGTCCTCAAGGACACTCTCCCTCCTGGTGCACCTCCTTCAGTGGCTTCCTCTGGTGGCCAGGGTCTGAGGCCCTTCATACCCAAGATAAATCTTCCTCCAGCATAGCCCTAAAGTTGGGGCTCACCAATGTTTCTCATTCACCTGAGGCCCAGAGAGGTTTATTGAAGGGAGTCTTCCAGGACAGCCCTGGGTGTCCTGTGCTGGGTGTCTGACCTCCTAGGCCCCTCCCATGGCTCAGATCCTGGGCCTCTTCCCAGACCCCAGCTGTTGGCCACGTGGCTGTGACAGCTGGCTAACGGGGAGAAGCTGGGGCTGGCAGGGGCGGCCACTTCGCACATCTTGGGTGTGGAGGCCTGTGGCCATAGGGGCTAGCCACAGAAGGCGGTGTGGCCAAGTTGTGATTATAGTGGAACCATGGGTCACTGTGCTTCCAGCCCTGGGTCCCTGCCTTCTGCTTGGGGAGGAAGCTAGCACCCTGCAACCCAGACACCCTTCCTCTCCGCCCCGTGACCCTCCCCTCCTTTTGCAGATCTAGGAGCTGAGTGCCAGCACATCAGGGGAGGGTTAGACAAGCACAGCCTGAAGCCCCAGAACCAGGGGCATGGAGGAGAGGAGGAGGGTGGGGACAAGGGCCTGCGGTGGCAAGAGCAACCAGTGACCTCTGCTCTCTGCTTCCCTCCAGAGAAAGTCTTTACCGGCTGTTGCCTCAGACAACTCCAGAGAACATCAACAAGAACTTTGAGCAGTACACGTTGGACCCAGGGACGCGGTACCCAAACCTCAACTCAAACTGCGTCCGGCCCCATCAGGTAGGCCCGTCCCCGGGGCCCTGCCTGGGTCACCGCACTGAGTGGAGGGATGGGAGTTTCTTGGCATCTTCCCAGGACTGAGGCCAGCAGAGCCTGTTGGCCCAAAGATGGGACCAAGTCCCCTCCCAGGAGATGCAGGAGTACAAAGCAGCCAGCATTCTTTCTAGCCCATAGGAGGCACCGGAACATGTATGGGGCGTGTGTATGCATGTTTATTTGCATATGAGCCGGTATTTACATATGTTAGTTTGTCACTGTGCACATGCAGTGTGATTATGCTCCTCCCACATAATCTACTGGACCAGATTTCTCTCTTTCTCATCACTCATGGTCCCACACTCTACTGTTTCTCCCTTTGATTCAGCTCCACCCAGTCCCCACTTCCTTCAGGCACTAGAACAGAGAATGGTGTAAAATTTTAAAAATTATCCAGTGAGATATCCTCACCATCGTTCAGTCATTTCCCCCATATTTGGGTGGCCCATTGAGGTCCCTTGTCTATACCCCATTTGCCTGGGGTCCCTGCCGGGGGCTCATGCCACCCAGCAGTTCAGGCCGGCAGTGGGGCAGGCAGTGAGTAGTGCCTCAGGCGAGTAGAGAACTCTGAATCTGGCACTGGGGAGAGGTGGGGGACAAGCGTGCAGTGTCTCTTGCTTGTAGGTAAAGCATCTGTACATCACCAAGGAGCTGGACCACTACCCTCTTGAGAGACTCAGCTCAGTGAGGAGATCTGTCAACCTCTCCAGGAGGGGTAAGTCACCTCCTGGGGGCCTGGCCACGCCACTGAGATGGGCTTTGCAGGGAGGAAGTCTGTCCAGGAGCCCTGGCAATGTGGCTCTGTAGCCTGTTACTCGTGGGACTTGGACAGATGCCTCTGCTCTCTGAAAGAGCTCTGAGCTCCCTCACTGGAATGGCCAGGAGCAGGCCAGCACCTACCTGCAGGAGCATTATGAGGATTAGAGAGTCAGTGTGTGTCAAACACTTGGCTTGGCAAAGTGAACTGTGGAATGGTCTTACAGGCTCGTTCTCATTTTCCTCTTGTTCCGGTGTGAGTCTCATCTCTCCACTTGGATGACGAGCTCTGTGGGCTTTACCCTCCTTCTGCTCCTCCTAGGCCCAGCACAACTCTGGGCATGTGCTGGTGCCTCATGGCAGGAGAAGGGATGGCTCCAGGAGTAACTCATTGATGCCCAGTTCCCCTCGAGTCCCTCTCTTGCCCACAGATGCTTGGCTGCTTCTGCCTGCCCAGACCTTGCTCCCTGTCCCTGGTTAGGCAAGCCCAGCCTCCCTCCCTCCTCCCCGCTGCACACCATGTGCCCCACTGCTGTAATACACTGTTTACTGTAATAAACCATTTTACTGTTATACAAACATGCCAGGATTTCTACATTCTTGCCACTGCCCAGTCCTGTTTTCCTGGAATGCTTTCTTCTAGCCGATGAATTCCTGACACTCCTCAAGAGTCAGCTCCAGGGCACCTGCCCGGACACTTTCTGTTGAGATTTCCCCTCCCGGGGCCGGATCAGGGCAACCCTGCTCATGTGCTACGCAGCCTGGCTTCTCTGCATTTCAGCACCATGTCACCATCACCCACTGTTGTTGGCAGAGTCTGTGTCCCTAGCCTCCAACCCAGAGCCTGCCCAGCGTCCTGTTAGAGGACAGTGTACTTCCTGTTGAGCATCTTGTCCTTCAGGCAGGCTCTTCAGCTAACCCTCATACATCAGCCTCCAGGGGGCTGTGCCTAAGCCCCACTATATTGCAGTGCTACGAGGTTCCTCTGGTCCCCAGCCATAATGGCAGTAGGAGGGGACATCCAGAGGAGTCCCCTAAGGTCCCCAGACCTCACTGCCTGTGCTTCCTCCCTGCAGAGTCAGATATCCGGCCCAACAAGCTCTTAACCTGGTGCCAGCAACAGACCGAGGGCTACCAGCATGTCAGCGTCACCGACCTGACCACATCCTGGCGCAGCGGCCTGGCCCTCTGTGCCATCATCCACCGCTTCCGGCCAGAGCTGATGTGAGTCTGGGGCCCAGGATGGACCCTGGAGACAAGGGACACTGAGGCCACTCTGCTAGCCTCATACCTGAATCAATGATTCTCTCTGCCTATTTTCAATTAGAGTTTCCTCTTCCATTTGTTCTTTCCTTTTCATGGACCATGCCTGTCAGCAGCGTTTCTGATCTGTGTCTGTCTTAGTTACTTTCCTGTCATTGCTGAGACAAAATACCCAACACTTAAAGCTAAAGGGGGAAGATTTAGTCAGCTCACAGTTTATAGAGATTTCAGTCCATAGTTAGCTGGTTCCAAAGTAGGGTGGCTTATGGCAAGAGGGACAACTGTTCGTGGTGGTGGAAGACAGCAAAAGCAGAGACAGAGACAGAGACAGAGACAGAGAGAAAACAAACCTCTTTCTGCCCCACTTTAGGGAAGGTGTAACACTTGCACCCTTAATCCTAGCATTGGATCATGGATCAATCACAAACTCTAGTTTCAGCCACCTCTGAAAAGCCTGCCCTCCATGACTGCATGAGGCTTTTTGCGGGGGACATCCAGACACAAACCATAACACCGTCCCTAGTGTGTGAGGATAAAGTTGGGCACAAGCTCAGTCATTGCATTTGCTCCCCACTTGCCACACCTTGGCAATTTGAGCATTTGTACCCTGGAGCCCAGCCCCAGGAGAGGGTCCCCTGGGGACCCACATCAGTGTCTTGTAGACTGAATAGTCAGGTAGAGCATCCAGATCTACCAGCAGGCTGCCACTGGGCAGCCACTACAGTCCTCTGAGCTTTAAATTCTCCATGCTATCTATGTACTGAGAATAATGTCTGGGCCTTCGAAGATGGCATTATATGTGTGGAAACACTTAAGAGAAACAACAAAAAGAAGAATGACTCATAAACTTTCTATTTTCTGATGTTTCAAGCTCAGGGGCCAGGTGTGATCTGGCCCACGTTCAGTTGACAAAGGTGGATGGTTACCATCTTCTGGGGTGGTGGCGTGGGGATTAGGAGCAGGGGCTGGGGTCCCCAATGCTTGGCTGAGTGTCAGCCCTGTATTCCCCCTGGGCTAAGCGGGCTCATCTGGTCTCACCTCTCCCTGAACTTCTCCACACTGTAATGATTCTCCAGCAACTTTGACTCCTTGAATGAAGATGATGCTGTGAAGAACAACCAGCTGGCGTTTGATGTGGCCGAACGTGAGTTTGGGATTCCTCCAGTGACCACCGGCAAAGAGATGGCATCAGCCCAGGAGCCCGACAAGCTCAGCATGGTCATGTACCTGTCCAAGTTCTACGAGCTCTTCCGGGGCACCCCGCTGCGGCCCGTGGGTGAGCACCTGCACGGGACTTGCCCAGCTCCTGGGCCATCTCTGTCCTCAAGCCCAAGTCTGGCTGCTCCTGGCACTGGGTCGTCTGCTGTGGAGCTGCCCAGCTTCCCTCCTAACTCAGGCCAGGGAGGGGTAACCCCACCCCTGGACTCTGTGTGTATCTGTGGTCTGTCTGGGAGGTACCATGAGGGGCTCATTGCTCCATAGTGGCAAGGCCTATAAGCCCCAGAAGTCCCCCTGCTTAGGCCACTTACTACTTTAGTTGAGGGTATGGGAATTAGGTTAGAGGGACCTTAATACAACAGTGCCCTGGTTACAAACAACACCTCCTGGGCCTGGAGATCCAAATCTCAGTGGTGCTTTTATTTCCCAACAGATTCTTGGCGCAAAAGCTACGGAGAAAACGCTGACTTCAGCTTTGCCAAATCCTCCATTTCTAATAACTATCTCAACCTCACGCTTCCCAGGAAAAGGACCCCTCGGGTAAGCTTCCGGCTGGTTTTGGTTTGCTTTTTCATTGCGCATGGACACGTGCACAGGGTAAGAGGAAGAAGCACGTCTTGCCCTTAGTCTGTTTATGCCGATAAGTCACACAGATGAAGCCGTCATGGAAGATGTGCATAAAACTCGGTTTAGTGGCTGAGTGCTTGGGAATTTCTCCCTGGCACTGGACAGCTGGCTTTAGTGACTTATTAGTTTTAGGAACTTAGTTCTAGGATGGTGGAAAGCACAGAGAACAGACTGGTAAATATTTTTTAAAGTAAACCAGATTTGCTCCTCCTCCTACACGGTTGCAGTGAGATGATTTCTACTCTGTTAAGCAGTTTAGATCAGGGACACACTGGCTGAAAAGCATGGTGGTGGTGTTACATCTACACATCTGTTTCATTAATGTGGTTTTATCCATCGATCCGGTTAAGAGTTGATTGGGCCCTACTATGTGGCAACTTTAGGGGTATTACTTTTATTTGTTTGGGGCAAAAGAATCAAATATGCAAAAGTAAATAATACGTGGCCTTTGGCTTTGAGGAGCTCAGATCCTAGTAAAGAGGTTCCCAAACTTTCTTGACTTACAGCACCCTTAGTGTCTGTGTAACTTCTTCATGGTGCCCTTATGTAGCATCTCAGTGGGAGAAAATTTTCTTGTGTGATGTACTCATTTTACAGATGCAAACAGAGGCCCAGAGAAGCTGAGTGCCTTGCCCCAGGTGACCATGGGTGCTTTGCCACTCACTAGTTCATTCATTAAGAGACATTTATCTGTATCCCACGATAGTCACGCAAATGTGAGGTAAAGTTTGACCTTAGCGTCTAGCTGGGAAGTAAGACACCAGCAAGGCAGGGAAAAGACTAAGAGCCACAGAGAACAAGAGATTTAAGAGGCTGGCAGGGGCAGAGCGGCCAGGAGAGATGATGAAGGTAGTCAGAAAGGCAGGAAGGGAGCTGGACAAACCTGGAGGAGAGCATTTCCACAGGATGGGCAGGGACATGTCCAGCCTCTGGGAAGCCAGGCAGGGTGAACACTGAAGGCAGGCTCTGCTACAAGATTGGAGACACTGGTGTCAGAGGAGTCAGAGGGCTGGAGTGTGCGTTTATGGGTGACTGTGGAGACAGAGGAAAGAGATCATGGAGAATGGGGCCAGAGCTTGGCCACTGGAGGGATCAGGGCAGCTGTTGAGGGTGGTGGGAGGTGCCCCAGCCAGAGCTCACTGTCCTGCAGCCTCAGCAGGTCCCCGTGCCTCCCCAGTCCTGCCTTGTCCTGCTAGTGTCTGTGCCCAGGGAGTGGTGGGGCCGCCGGGCCTCCTTTCTCCCGCTTCATCATGTGAACAGGGGTCAGTTTTCCACTGAGGCCTGCACTCTTGCTCCCTGGAATGCTGCAGCAGCTGTGGGCTAAGCGCCGGAGCAGGAGGGCTTCATGCTTCGTGCCTGTGCCCCTCCCTAGGGCGGAAGGACTGCAGGGCCAGGCCTGGGGAGGGAAGCATGGGGTCTGCAGACTTTTCACAAAGCCCTGCAACCATCAGCTGCTCTTACCTCTGCTGCCCTCGCCCTCAGAGCTCTCTCTGCGGGGTGTGCCACCCACTGTGTGTCCCACCGAGCCAGCGCCGTGTTCTGAGACAGCTGTGTCTCCTTTCACCCTGGCCCAGCCGATTTTCCTCAGAAGCCCACACAGCCCCGCTGCAGGCTGCCCCACCCCTCGCAAGCCAGTGCATCTTAATGGAGCTGCTGGGAGCCAGACCCTCAGTGCCTTTCCCCCCTTACTGTGCTCCTCCCACCACTTAGCCCCACAGGGAACTGGAGAGGGAGCTATGACCCTTTTCCTTGCCACACCTTTGTGTACAGAGCAAGCGAGTGGAACAGCTGGGCCAGCTCGGGCTCAAGCGCTAGGGTGGTCAGCGGCAGGAGTCAGAGGCCAGTTGGGCCCTCAAGGGCTGCCAGGGCCGCCCTCCCGTCCTCCCTCTGACCCTGCTGGGAAGCACTTGGGAGCTCAGCCTCAGCCAGGCCCATGTAACACTGGAAATTTCCCCCACTCTTTGGATAGGTAGAGAAATTTGATTCTTAAAGTAAGCGTTGGCAAGGGATTTATTTATTCTTCTGTCTTTTCTCAAAACAATAGTGTGTTCCCTCTGGGTGGGCAGGGGCATTAATAAGTCTACTGGGTCACAATCTGCCTTGGTCGCCAGGACACCCTATATACTGTCCCCACGTGAAAGTTCCTCCTTCCCACCCTGCCACGCACATCCGGGCACTTTTGTGGACGGGGAGCCTATCTGCAGTGCTCTCTGGCTTTAACATTTCCCACAGCAGAGTGCTGAGTCCACCCCAGCCTGGTACTGCACAGACACACAGACAGCTCTGCTCTCGAGAGACGCCCCCACACTGGTGTCTCCACAAGAGGCTGCCCCACAGCTGCACCAGGAGGGATATTTCACTCACAGCACTATGTCCTATCCAGAAGAGGATTCACAGACGCCTGCCGGGCAGGTCCTAAGCTCTCTCTCCCGGTTTTCACTGATGATATTAAATTCTTTCTTCCCTAATCCCATTTTCCTGATAACATCCAAATCCTAGCTAGACTTATAGACTTCAAACAAAATGAAAGGCATTTTCTCCATGGAGGACCTTGTTTACTTTTATAGAGAGTAATTTTCCCATCCACATGAGCAGCGGCCCTTTGGGGTAATTAGCTCTGAAGACAGGGCAGCTGGACTGGGAGAAGGGGGAGAGCTTGAAAATTACCTTTTCCTCTCACAAAGCCCATGGCCCACTTTTATAAATCTGCCTGTGATCTCAGGCAGATCTAAAAGCTTCTTTTTGTTGTTGTTGTTTAATTTTGTTTTGCTTGTGAGACAGCGTCTGTCTAAATTTCCCAGGATGACCTCAAACTTGAGATCTTCTTGCCTCAGCTTCCAAAGTAGCTGGGATTACAGATACGTGTCACTATATGTGGTTAAAACCTTCTTGGCATGGGAAAATTCCCTGGAGCTTTAAGTCTCTTGTCACCATGCATACAAGTGACACTTGGGCCGTTATCCTTAGGCTCTGTCACTTCCGCATTCATGTGCGCACACACACACTCACACTCACACTTGTACTAATTGTCTGTACTCTGTACTCTCCTAGACCTATGGGACATGAGTGGTGCTTGTATTTATGGGCAGTACCATCATTACCCATGGTACATTTTATGTGTATGCATATACAGGGCATCTTGGCTATGTCCCATTCTAAACCCACTCCCTGGGGAACAACAGACAAACTGTCACCTGCCCTGAAAATCTCATCCCAAAAGCCAGGTGAAAAGCCTCAGGATTCATCTTGCCCAGCCAAGTCCTCTCCTCCAGCCCCGGTCCCTAGTGGATAGTGTTCATACACTTATGACTCTTCAGTGTCCATGTCTGGGCCGAGGGGTCCAGGCCCCGTTCCCAGCTCACCTCTTTATCAAGAAAGTGCTGCTTCTATCCATCTATCCACTCCTTCAACAGCAGTTATTAAGCATCTGCTTCAGGCTGATTTCTCTTCTCAGTGCTAAGGATACAGCAGTGAGCAAGTGGAAAGCTTACCTTCTAGAAGGACCTACAAGGCTCCTCTCACTCCCCTTCCACAATTTCTCTCACAGAACCCTGCCCTCCCCATACCCACTAAAGCTCCCACTAGGTTTCCAGTCCCTCCATTGCAAGGACTTGGGGAAGGTGTGGGAGGGTCAGGGCACCAGTTTCCAAGGCTGGACAGGCACAGGCCCCTGAGCAGCATCTAGGACCCATGGTTTGCAACCCACTGCAAGGCTGCCTTCTCTGCTTCCCACACACACCCTCTGCCCAGGATTATGAGCAGAGCTAAGATTAGGAATGCAGTTTGGAGCCAAACAGGTAAACACCTCCTCAGGCCTTCTAGAGACTTGGGATAGTCTAAGCTCTCAGACAGCCCCCGTGTATGTCTACAAAATGAGGGTAACAAGTTATGCATCAGAGCACTGCTGCAGAGATGACACATGTGGGTGTACCTACAGGCCTGGCACAGGGAAGGGACTTTCTGGATGATATTTCCTTGCCTTTAGCGACGCCTTTCATTGCAGATGAGTAAAGCCATTTGGGTGAATGTTGGTTATACATGGCAGCCTAAAAGCATTTCCACATTTACATCTCCTTTGCCCCTCATGTTACCTTTGGTGGAAGGCTGGGAATACATCCTCATCCCACTTTTACAGATGAGGAAACGTGAACTTGGGGAGACTAAATTTTGGTAAGTGGTATTAAGTGTCAAGGCCTAAACCAGAGTACAGATGTTTAAAATTCTGTTTCCAAAACTCACCCATTAGTATAACTAACACTTTTAGAGTTTAAATATTTTACATCTGCTGTTTCATTAATCCTCAGAACATCTGAGCTAGACAATATACCTCTCCTTCTTACAGGTAAAGAAGCCAGAACAACGAGGTGACTATCCCTAAGGTCACACAGCTGGAAAGTAATTAATACAATATTGGTCTGTGATCCCTTCAAGACCAGACTCCCTTGCTCGTGTTACTGCTCATTTTTTCTAAATATCATAGCTGCCACCTGACTCAACCAGGCCATACCCTGAAATGGCCAACCTCTCTCCCTCTGACCCAGACCTACCCTTCCATCAGAATTAGGCTGTATGAGCTAACTAAAGCTTGTTTATTTTGAGCCAAAAATCACATTAACTCAGGCAGTATGGGAACATAGTTATCTTATGCTAGTCAAATAAGTGATCCAATTGGCAGAGATGTACCTTGGATTTAAAAAAAAAAAAAAAAGGAAACCAGTTTGTTTAATAAATGCCTTTTGGCATACTGAGTCTTCCAAATCCTTGGGAAATCATGATAAGAAAATGTTCTTAGGGTGAGAGCTGGGAAAATTACCAGGAAAAGAAAGTAACTTCTGCGTTTCTTCTCATGCTCTCCTTGGCTGGGCACGAAAGCATTTACTTTCTCCTTGCACTTCCAGCTCTCTGTAGAGCACAAGGTCCAAGAGGCTGTGGGTTCTGAGTCCATTTTGGCTTCCAAATTAGATATGCAGATCAAAAAAAATAAGATGTATCTCTAGATTTGAATTTTCTTAACATTTTCGTTGGAACTTAGATCTGAGTTGAGAATTTGTGCTTCAGTGATAAATCCATAAGGAAGGGTAGATGCCGTGTGAGTATGTGTGTTGCTGAATTTCCCTATAGTCTGTGTTTTGTTGCCTTGGGCCTGGGATCTAAAGAGAGGAGGTTGCCCCTCTCCTCTCCCTGCAGAAGGATTTGGGGTCTTCCCAGGAGCTGCCGGCTGGACCCCTCCCTGGGATTGGCTTTGGAAGCCAACGGGTAATATGGCTGGATGAGGCTTGCCTGGGTTCTGATAGTGTGAAGAGCCCCATCCAAGCTGCTGAGTATGAAACAGAGAGTAAGATTGAATTGTGTTGCTCTTGGGGACAAAAGCCAAGTCTTCGTTTAAGGTGAGGGGAAAATTGGAAAGCCCTAAGCCTGTGTGTGAGGCGTTCTGCTGTTCTGTACTTTCACAGACTCCCACCACAGGGCCAGAGTGGCATTCTCAGGCGGTGGGGCTGGGCATCCAGATGGCCTGTGCTTCTAAGACCCAACATTGTTGCAAATAAGGTCATCTGTTTCTCTTGGTGTCTGCCCAAGCCTTTGGGCTGAAATTATTTCCATTCACAAAATAATGATTTATGAGAAGCTGAGGGAAATGTTGGAGGGAAGGCAGAACCTTTTGATCTGTTGTTTTGTGCTGCCTGGGTCAAATTTTTGAACAAATATCAATGGCTAAACTGGGGTTGATCTTTTCTTTAAAAAATAAAGGAAAAGGTGCTGGTAAACATGAGAGGACAGGGGTGATGTGGAGTTTTTGTTGGAGGAAAGGGGGTGCGCAGTGGGCTGCTCACTGGGGGGCCCAGAGTCATTGCTATTTCAGAGCGGCTGGGGAGAAAGGACCCTCCTGTGATGCGGTAGAATTAGGATGGTGGCATTAGGTGTGCTGTGTTTCTGGGTCCACGATGAGCGAGTGGCCTGAAGCCCTCCTCCTGCTCCCACAGGATGGAAAGGCTGGGATGTGATCTGGGCTCGCCATGGAGAGACTGAGCACAGGGGACCCTGTAGAAGGGATGCAGGGTCCCTGTGCTGGGGAGCTGTCCACAAGGGAAAGGCCCCGAGACTGCAGGCTGGTGGGAGAGAGGTCTGCCCCAGGAGGAGAGGGCGCCAGGCAGACCAAGGCCAGTGCAGAGGATGGGCTTCCCAGCAGGGCACAGAGGAGGCCCCAGATCCAGCTTCCACACCCAGCCCAGCCCCTCACTCACCCAGAAAGTCCTCCTCCTTCCCTCCAGAGACAGCAGGATGGTGTTTGCCTGTGGGGTTGGATAAAGCGGAGTTTCCCTGATCTAGAGGTCCAGATTCAGGCAGCAGAGTTTGTCCATAGGGAGACCATGGGCAGACCGTTAATAACCGTGCTGTAGGAGGGAGGCAGTGAATTAGAACTGTCCTGGGCAAACTGGGCTGCGTGGTCCCTCTAGTCCTCGGCCTATACCTAATGCTTATTGGAAATTAATAAAACATTGTGATAGTGACTGAATTGTAGACTTAATTTGGCAGTCTGGACAGCTCGTGTTAAGTCTCTGCATCCTATGAGTCCCACCAAGGTGAATCAACGTCACTTTGTTAGAAAGGGTCCCGAGGAGCAGAGGGACCCCATGGTCCTCAGGAGGCAGCACAGCAAGAGCATGGGCAGACAGGGCTCCCACCTTACTACACCTTTCCACCACTCCACACCCGAGGTCACACTGCAGCAGAGCTAGTCCCTGCCCGGCCTGTGTCACAGGGAGGTCTCCTCAGGACACCTTGGGAAATAATTCCCAACTCTTCCAAGCAAACCCTTGGCTCCCTAGGTGGAGTAAGTTTTCCTCCACTGTGACCGTAGCTTCCGGATAGCATTGGTCACGGTGCAGGGCCACTCCTCCACGTAGGCTGGCAGCTGCTCACAGGCAGGGATACATCTGTGCGCACTTTTAGTTCAAGGCCAACGCTGTGGCCTCAGGGATGTGGGTGGAAATGAATCCCTTGGCAGCCGCGAGCTTACCAGGCTTTCTTTGCCGTTGCAGGGAGATGCCCAAACCGAAGAGAATGACATGAACAAGCGGAGGCGGAAAGGCATCATCAACCTGGACGAGGATTGTGTGCGCAGGGTCAGTGTAAACAAAGGCCCGTTGCCTGGCAACGCGGGGCTGGGGCTGCCTGACTGACAACAGTTCTTTCTTTCTCTTGAACCACTGAATTCCAGGCTTGACTTGATGGCAAAAACAGCCAGAGTTCTGATCCTAGCATTGCTACTTCCTAACTGTGCACACTGGAGGAACATAGCCTGCTCGGGTGGGGATCACATCTGTAAATGCGACGATATACTTGAAATGCAGGAACCTGCAGCAATTCTAAGGATTAATAGGATATATGTAACACACCGAATATGGCATCTCACACCCGTGTTAATGAACACTGAACCACTTGTAAGTAGGAAAGAGACACCAGTAGGCCCACTTTTCTCCAAGTCATTGTATTCTTTCTTTTTCTTTCCTACATTTTTTGTCTTTTGAGCCAAACATCCTGGGGTCTATAGTGCCACCTTCTGGTAGAAAAGAAAAATTGCAGGCAATTTAGTCAAAGGAGATTTGCTAGTATCGCACCCACTTTTGAAAAATTGGTCACCAGAAAAAGAAATAAGCTCCTCCCGTGCCAGGCTGCAAGTTAATTAGACCCGAGGTATACACTTCATTTCAAAAAGCCCTTTTAATTCTACAGAATCAAGCCCGCGTATTTCAATGAAATGTGCCAGCTTTTGCTTGCCTATTGGTCCTGACAAAAAATGATTTAGAGCTGGGTGTGACTAAGAAAGAACTTTTTTTTACTTTACATCACTGAAGATGTTTATTACTATAGTTTAGAACATGTCTGTGGCGTGCTTCACAGCAATGAGCTATAATACTGAATGTTTAATTCACTACAATAAAAGACCCATTGCCATTTACCCTCCCTGAAAATCCTCCCCCTTGCTGCAAACACACTTATCCCATACTGCTTGCCACTTTCTGAAGCAGCTCTGGACATCCTCTTTCATGTTTTTAGTTGCACGGTTGTGACTGCCTTGATGTTCTAAGCTGATTCACAGCGTTTACCTTTCATGGTCTCTTTGACTTTGGGGAAAGACTCAGAAGTCATACGGTGCCTTATCCAGGTGGATGGGACATATCATGTTTTCACGAGCCTGCCCTTTCTGTTGGACGGCAGTGGGCAGCAGCATTCAGCATATTTTTTCGTCACAGCTCGTAGAGAGCTAACCCCAAGAGGGAGCAGAGCACCCCAGCACCCTCCTTTGGTTCACACCATCTTGAAGAGTCTTTTCCTGCCTTTCACCCTGGCCAGCAGCACAGGGCTGGCGTGGGAAGAAATCTGGTCTGCATGTGCCCCTTCTGAGATGGCTCCGAGCTGTTTTCTGGGGCAGCTGTTTTGCTTAAAGTCAGATTTAACAAAGCAACGATCCTTGCTACTCAAAGTATGGTAGAGACCCAGCAGCGTATCAGCGGGTATTTGTTAGGGAAATGTGGACTCCGGCGCCTCCTCTGCAGATCTAGCGAAGCCCACTGTGCTCCGAAGGTAGATTCCCGGTCATCCATGTGCTTGTTAATGCCCAAGAGTGTCGGCTGTGTGGCCCTATGTACTGACTGACCGCGGTCTTCCATGACAGTGATGGCCTCGTAAACGTGCCCAGTAAATCACCCTTCTCTGGTTCAGTTTCCAGCATCGATGCGCAGTCCTCTCTCACACTTTGAAGCAGGAAGTGCCTTTTTGCTTTCCGTTCGTCCAGCGCATCTGCGTGGCTATCCGTAAAGTTTCCCACGGGCCTGCTACTTGCAGGCATCCTTCAAAAAATATTGCAGTCTAGCTTGCCTTCTCCCGTGAATGTCTTCCCAGGGTGCACATCTTTGTTGTCTTGATGTGCTGCTATTCCTGTGGGGAAAGCCCACTGAAGCCTTGAGAAATCTCACTGACCACTTAGCCTGGCAGTGCTTTTGTGCTTCCGTGGTGTAAAGGAGGAGAGCCTGTGAGGACAGGAGCAGACAGTCTTATTTGAAAAAACCACAGTAATTTTCAAATTTTTATGGTTAACAAATGAACTAGAGAAATCTTAGATGGAACTCCGTTTTATAAAACGGCATGACCCAGCGGTCAAGGCCTACATCACCACTTATAAGTCATGCTGCTCTCATGTACCCTGCTAGGATGGGATGCTGCAGGCGTTTGCCTCTGTCGCACCTTCCCAAAGCCCATCACCCCAGTCTAGTCATGGGAAAACATCAGACCAACACAGCCGCTTTCTATAAAATAACTGTCCAAGTGTCAAAGCCATGAAAGACAAGAAAAGATGGAGAAATTGTCCCAGATTAGAAGAACACAAGGAGACGTAATGACTCAAGGAGAGTAGGCTCCTGGATTGAAGCCTGGAACAGAGAAAGGGCGTTGTGGAAAAACTGATGCAATCCAAATAAAGCCTGCAGTTCACTGAACAGTGTCGGGCCAAGGTTAATTTCTTACTTTTGATAACACTACTGTAATTATTCCAGACATTACACTTAAGGCCGCTGGGCAAAGGGTATGGTACGCAGGAACAAACTGTGCTATCTTTGCAACTTTTGTGTAAATCTGAGATTCCTTCTAAATTAGAAGACTTTTTTAAAGAAAGCAAACACTCTGCAGTTCTGGGTGAAGTTGGGCAGGGCCCATGGAGGAGCCAGGAGGCAGAAGCCAGCGTCTGTGCCTTGCCTGACTGGCAGCCTTTGCTGCCTCCATCCTCCTGCTCCTCGCCCGTTCTCAGCCACGGGATGTATTTGGAAAACTGTTTCCTACAGCGCTTCTTTGTTATCATTCATTTTTGCAGTAACGGCTTGGGTGGGTTTTTCCTCCCATTTTATAGATGAGGAAATATCAGAGAGGTAAGTTGCCAAGGTCACAGAGCTGGGGACAGAAGAGTCAGGCTTGAAAGCCTAACTGTCTGGCTCCAAGGCTGGCTGTGCCCCTCTTTTGCAGACGTTTGTCCCCCGCTTGTGCAGACGTTTGTCTGCCCAGTGTGGTCTCTACCAGGTAGACTGCTGTTATGCCTCTCTCCCTCAGCCCATGGACAAAGTCCTGCTTCGGGAAATCAGTCCATGTCTTGGGTCTCCGGCCTCCTCCTTGACACCCAGGTTCCAGGACGCAGCCTCCAGTGTACTGTTTTGACCTTTGCAGCCGTCATCCTTCTCCAGCCGTAGCTTGGGCTCCACTCAAGAGTGCGGCAACAGTAAGGAAGCAGGAAATCAGAACAAAGTCAAGTCCATGGCGAACCAGCTGCTGGCCAAGTTTGAGGAGAGCACACGGAACCCCTCAGTCCTGAGGCAGGTGAGTCAGGCCAGGTGCTCACGGGGCCTGCCTTCCTGGGAGTGCCCAAGAATGTTCAGACTACAGATGGAAGGCAATGCGCCAGCCAGGCCTGATGGAAATGTGACTGGAGCCGCTTGGTCAGGAGTCAGCAGCCCCTTCTCTGAGGCTGGATAGCAACTCTTTTATACAGTCCTTTGGAGGCCATGCCGTCCTATTCAATAATGTGTTTCTGCCATTGCAACATAAAAGGCTCTATGAATGGGACCAAAACAAATGCGCATAACTGTGTTCTAATAAAACTTTATTTATAAAAACAGGCCAGATTTGGCCCCTGGCCAGAGTTTGCTGATATCTGTTGTGCATTAAAGAAATCTATTTCATAATTTGGTTTTGCTTTAAAACCACTACTTGATATACAGCCACTTTTGAGATGGTATATCTTGAGGGAGGTTTTGAGCTGCTGGCTGTCGGTAGAGGGGGGAGTGCTAAGTCCACAGTCAGAGGATTCATCTGACCCAGAGGAAGCTGACTCAGATCTCCAGAGATCAGGGCAGCTTCCCAAGCATCTCTGGCCCTCTTCTCATCCTATAGCCCAGTCAGCCTGGCTGGACTCCTGTGTCTGACCCCAGTTAGTTTGAAACTAGCACATGGTCATTGCTCTGGGTCAAGCTGCAGACCTCTGTCTGATGCTAGTCAGGATCTGTGTTCATGGTTCAGTGTGCTTCCCTGGATTTCTTTTGGATTCTGTTGTCACAGTACAGAAGCTTGGGGGAAAGCTTATATTATATTTAGCCTACGGAGAATACCTGTCCCATCACATTATGAGATCCCTTTCAGGAGCACAGAGTCTTGCTCGATTGGCTTTTTGTCTCCTTGGTGTAGGCCCAGGAGGTGATTTCATTATGTGATTCTCTAAGAATATTCTCCATTGCCCCTTCTCAGGGCTTGGCTCCCAACAGGGTGGGTGAGGGTTCTGTTCCTTCAGAAGGTCGGGGGCATCCCTGTCCTGGAATGGGCAGGAAGCTCCCTATTTCCAGGAGGACTCCCTGGTTGGTCACCCTGGCCTGGCACAGGCTCTGGAAGTGCCAGCTCAGAACCCTGGGTCTGAGCCAAACCCAAGGCCTGTGGGATTCACGCCTTGTCCAGGAGGAGGGGACTCCAGGCCTCACTGGTCACATGCACAGACAGTGGGCTCAGGTGTCCTACTGGGCTTGGCTTATGGGAGCCTGGGCAGCCCCTGCGCTTGCACACTGCATCCCCTGCTCCTCTTCTTTCCTCCCTCTACGTCTCTGTCTGACTCACCTTTTCCTTCCTGTCTCCTGTGGCTGCTTCTTTGGACCTTTCTGCTCCCAGGAGCGCCGTGTGTCGGGGATAGGTAAGCCCGTCCCGTGCTCTCCCTCTGATCCTCCTGTAGACTCTCACTGCTCCACGCCAGAGGAGCCCACTCCCAGCCCGCCACCTCCTCAGAAAAGGCAGGTAGGGCTCCTGCCAGCGGCTGCTGTCTTGGGGGACACTGATCTGGGGGTGGGATCAGTACCTCCCTCCATCCCCACATAGGGTTGAGTATAGGTTCTCTGGGCAAGTGGACATAGCCTGATGTGGCTGCCTTTATAGGCGAGAATAACCATGTACACAGCACTGGACACACTTGTTGATCCTCCAGCAGTCAGAGGTACCCACTGACCAACTTCCACACCCTTAGCATTGCTGCGTGGGTGCACAAACTGCACCACATAGAACAGTGGTGGCGAGCCTATGGCATGCGTGCCCCAGCAGGCTGATTGTGTCACTGAAAGCTCTGAAAGGTTCGCCATCACTGATGCAGGGCTTCATGCAGCACAGAGCTTCACATGCAGCACTTGAAGAGAGTGATCGCCAAGTCAGTGTGGTGTGAAGCCGGCCTGGGCTCAAATGGTCACATGCCGCACCCTTGGAAGGGGTGAGGCTGGTGCGTGGCGAAGGCCGCCCAGGTTTTGGAGCAGCCAGAGCCTGTGGCTTATTCCACCTGGCTTCTCTGGGTTTGGAATTTGACCAGAGTCACTATGAATAGACCACACATTCCGACAGAGGTAGGCTGAGGCAGGTGCAGATCTGCTGCCGAGGTTGTATGTCTGTGTGCCTAAGAATCTCCTGTGGAGCTTTTGACAAAATATCCACGTCTCACGCTCGCTCAGACCAATCAACCCAGTGCCTCCAGAGGCCAAGCCCACACCCGAATAATTTTTAAAGTAGCTTAGATGATTTCAGTGTGCAGCCAGAACTGAGAGCCAGGGCTGTATAGGCTGGGGAGGATCTGGGGTGAGGCCAAGATTATATTGTTAACAAGCGTGTCAGGTGACTCTGATTCAGGTAGAGAAGGGCTGTCCCAGAGGCCATCTGGCACCTCCTCCCCTGTCTCTGGTCCTCATGAGAATCCCTCACAGTGGGGACTGTGGAAGGCCCAGGTGGGAAGGAAGCCTTGTGTTCCTGCTCCCCCAGCTCTCCTCTGTGCTTGTCATGGGGCAGGTGCTCAGAGAGCTCAAGCAAGTGTCCACTGGTGGCGACTGTCCAAGCCGGCCCTGGAGAGCCAGGGCCAAGTCTGACCTGCAGCTGGGCAGCCCGGAAAACCTTGCCACCCTGCCTCCTGCCTGCCAGGGAGCACTGGCCCTCTCAGGGGTGCTGCAGCGGCTGCAGCAAGTGGAGGAAAAGATTCTCCAGGTGAAAGACCATGCTGGCCCTCTTATCCGTAGCTGGGTGGCTCTCTGTCCTGCCTCTCCTCCACCTGCCCTTGATGGGTCCCTTCTCCTCCTGCTCCTTCCTTGTTCCCATCCTGCTGTGTGCCTGGTTTGTGAGACAAGCTCCAGACCCATGCTCTCCCAGCCGGAGCAATCCTCCCTATCTCTGTTACTCTCTCTCTCCTTTCTCCTTTCTCGCCTTGACTGCAGAAAAGGGCTCAGAACTTGGCCAACAGGGAATTTCACCAAAAGAACATTAAAGAGAAGGCAGCTCACCTCGCCTCCATGTTTGGACATGGGGAGTTCGCGCAGGTAAACTGGGGCTGTCAGAGCCCCCGGGAGCCCACATGCTGGCCATGCACCACCCTCTGGAGCTTGGGTTTTCTCCTCCTTCTTTTATAATATGAGGAATTACTTATTTCTTAAGCCATTACAGAGTGTGAGGTGGCATCTAAAAAAAAATGCAGATTCCAAATAAGTCGCTGTATCATGGCAAAAGAGACAGGAAAATAAGCCCAAGTCAAAAGGAGCTGCTTCCAAAGAGAAAGACAGGCTGTTAGAGCCCAGACACTGGTAATTTCTCAGTGTTCTTGGCGCCACTTTAAAGAGGAGGTGCTGGTCACTTGGAAGACTCCCAGTGTCTTTAAGGTGGAAGCAAACCAGTTGCTCATGCTGCTTTGGAGCACCATGGAGAGACGACCTGCGGGCCTCATCGGGGAGGCACTGAACGATGCCGCAAAGTCATACCCTGGGCTCAGCTCCTCCAGGAGCAATGTCAAGCCAAGAAGCAAAATTTTGCCTTAGCATAGGCACTACAACGCTCTCCAGGACAGTTACTTATTTGGAAACTTGCAGAAAAGAAGACGGTGTTTCCAGGGAGCACTGACACTGAGGCCCATGGGTGGGTGCCGTGGGAAGCTGCCCCCCGCAGCAAGCCTGTCTCTGGAACGCGTCTGCTCTGCCACTCTCACTGCATCTCCTCCAGACCTGTGGCCCTTGCAGCCTGGGAGAGTCAGTGAAGGAGCGGGAGTGGGAGTGACGCTTTGCACTGAGTTCATTGTTAGCGTTCGCTGGGGCTGCCGAGAAGCCAGCACAGTTGCCTGCCCACAGCTGCAGAGGCTCCAGGTGGCCCAGGACTCTCCCTCCTCAGCTTGCAGCCGCTGCTGCAGACCAAGCTCCAGGGCGAGGGTTTTGGGAGTTACCTTGCTCTCGGGGGCAGAGGGAGGCGGGAGCAGGGAGGATCTGCTCCGGCTGTTGCAGCGTGACGAGGGAGCTGGCATAGTCATAGCAGAATGCGGTGTCACCGGAGGCCACATAATCCTGCTTGGCTCCAGAGACAGGTTTCTGTTGGGTCCTGAGACGCAGACCTCGGTGTCTCTCCCGCTTGGGGCACGGGGCTGCATCTGGGAGGCTCACTTCTCTGTGCAGGCCCCTGGGATAATCCTAGTCTGCTCTATCTCTCTGTTCCATGCAGAATAAACTACTCTCTAAAGGCCTGTCTCATACTCATCCTCCATCTTCTCCCTCTTGCCTTCCGTCTCCTGATCCAGCTGCTACTTCCTCTCCATCAACCGCTGACTCTGCTTCTCCTGCCAGAAAGGTAGTTGCCCTCTCTCCCGAGCCTGCCCCACCCCCTGCATGTCCTGAGGTGTCCTCGTGCACGGCTTGGCCTGCTCAGACAAACATCTGGAGCTGGGAGGAAAATTTTTAAGAGGTTTTGCTACAGTCCTGAATTCGGTTTTGGTTCTATGTTAGAACATGCAACACAGCGGAACAGGCAGCGTACAAAAACCCTGCCAAACAGGGCTCATCCATCCAGTGAGGGTTAATCAGGGCTGACCTGGTGCCAAGCACTTTGCTAGATGCTCAGAAAACAAAGAGGGGAAGGTACAGTTCCCTTACTACAGCTTGGATGCAAGTAGCACATGATTGTAGAAATCAGTCACATTTCTACTCTGTGGAATTGCTGAGATGTGGCCCGGCTGACTTGAAAAAAAGGCAGTTTCACATGGTGAACCTAGCACAACCCCATTCATTAATCCTGAAGGCAGTCTAAAAGGCCAAATCGGAGGAAGAGAGAGGAGAGAGGCCTGGCGGAGGGGCAGAGGAGGCAGTGCGGGAGGAGTGGCGAAGCCTGCAGGGGAGGGTGTTGCTGGAGAAGAGTGTAGGGCTGGGGTTTTAGACAGGGACCAGCGCGTGCAAACGCAGGAAGGCAGAGCAGACACGAGATGGGAGACAGAATGTCTGCTGTGACCTCAATTTGGGGACAGAAGGATTCATGGAGGTGTGGAGAGTGAGGGCAAAGGTCACCGTGCTCTGTGTGCTAGGACTTTCATCTTATCCTCTGAGTTATTTTAAGCTGCCAAAGGATCCACTCTGCATTCTAGCAAGATGGCTCAGACAGTAGTGCAGAGGTTAGCTCGGAGGAAAACAGGCAAGGGCTACCTCTGGTATGTGGATTATGATATGCATCCCTAAATAGTGGTCACAGGGCCTGGGATATAGTTCAGCGGTGCAGCGCCTTCCTGGCAAGCTTGAGATCCTGAGCAATTCCTGGTACCGTGCCGCTCTCCAAAAAACAGTCACCACTGGGGCTGGGCCACTTTTTCAGCTCTGGGATGACTGTGCCCCTCTGAGCCAGGCAGGCTGTCCAGCTCCCACGGGGTTAAGTGGCATCCTCAGAGGTTCCTTCCATGCTGTGAGGCTGGTGTATAAACCAACTTCGTGCTACTGCGTTAGTGAGAGATTACAGGTGTCCTCTTCATATAGCTGGAGGTCCCTCCCCCACTGACAGCCACATCCTTAGGGAGGTAGATGTAGGTAGGGTCCCCAAGAAAGGAGGGAAGAAGCTCACCAGCCACACCCCCTCCAGTATAAGTGTGAAGCACCCTCCAGCAGGGCAGGGCTGCAGGAGGCGACACAGAGAAACACAAGCACATCCAATTTTAATGCCACAGAAAGGAGCCACGGTCAAGATAGCAGGAAATTCAGCATCCTGTCCCAGGTCAGCCATTGGCTGGTTGTTTCGCTTAAATATCCTGACCTCTCTGGGCCCCCATTTTCCCCAACATAAGAGCAGTTTTTTTCTCACATGCGAGTTAGCATTATGAGTGAACACGGGCTTTTGAATCATCAGTATCAGCCAGGTGTCAAAACAGCCTTTTCGCTCTGCTAAGGTGAAGATCCTTATCCAGGCAATATTTCCTGCTATAGAGAAGGACTTTTGCCTCCTTGATGGGATTATGGGGTGGGGGTGGGGGACAAGGGACCTGGGCACAGGCCAGGCAGTGGCTGGTGCTTCTGGCTGATCAGGTGGCCATGTCTTGCTCCCCCTGGTCCATGCCCTCCCTAGCTGCTGGGGCCCTTCTGCAGGGAGCCTAGCAAAGCTCTATCTTCTCCCAGATTCTCTGCTTAGGATGACCTGGCTTGGTCACTGCTCTCACATGGTTGAGGACAGAGCCAGGACAAGAAAAGCCATGACCCTGCTCAAATCCCTTGGCTTGGTTTCTGATAGCATTAGTTTCCCGCTGGGGACTAGAGGAGATGCTGGGACTGGCAGGGCTGCTTCTTGTCCATGAGCCCATCCCCCATTGAATCATCAAGCCTTCTCAGTAGAGTTCTGCAGGCAGCTGTAAACGAGTACCACTCATGAAGCCGATAAGTGATTATTCATTCATTCATTCATTCATTCATTCATTCATTCAACAAATACTCATTAAATAGCAACTCAGTGTTGTGTATTTTGTATTATTATATGCAGCATTGAGTCAGAGTGAAATTCCTGCCCTGGTGAGGCTCACATTCTCGTAGGGGGAGGTAAACTATCAGCAATCATATGACCTCTAAGTAATAATATGTAAGGCAAGACTTCTTAGGAAAATGTGGAATGACAGCTGGGGCCTGGAGTGCTGGGAAGGCATGCGATTTTAAGTGGGGTGGGCAGGAGGGGTCTTCCTGAGAATGCGAGAGCTGAGCAGGAGCAGAACCACAGATCAGAAAACAAAGGTTCAGGGGCAATATGAGGACTAGGGGCTCCAACTCCAGTCCAGCGATCTCTGTGCCACAGGGTGCTTGTCAGAGAAATGAGTCCCAAGGCTGGGTCCATGTGAAGCGCTGCACCCAGAGCCAGGAGGGTGCAGATGGCCTGGATTTGGGATGGCACCTTTTCTCCTTTGTTCTCCTGGTTGTAGTAAAGCAGTCGCCTCCTGTTTTTCTTATCCCACCCTTGGCCATCCAATGATGGTGTGGTTAGGCTGTTTTCACAGCTTCCAACATATGAATTGTAGGCTGATGTGCCTTTCAAGTGTGCCTTGGAATAATAGGGGAGCTCTTAAAAGGGGTCACTCTGGGACACCAAGCCAGTCACTGAAACTCTCTGTGCCACAGTTTCTGTAAGTGCCCATATGCATGGGGCCCTGCAGCCTCCCCGGGAGCCCATTGTAGATCATTAAGCCTGGGGTGGTGAGTTCCCAGTTGCAAGCAGTCCCAGAAAGGAGCTTGTCAACCTCTCCCCCAGTCTTTCCTCCCAGGGCTCCCTGCCATTGCCTCACCACCAGGCTTTGCACTCACAGCGTCAGGCAGAATCACAGCTGACGCTGAGAAAACTGGCTGCCCCCTAAAACAGGTGATGACTTGTTGATAGATTTATCTCAGACTGAGGGAACTCAGGGCTTCTCTCCCTGGGAGAGAGTCAGCACCCCCATACCTCTTCCAAACAGAGGATGGGCTGCTCTGATTGCCCAGTGACCCAGACCTGCCTCGACTCAGGGGAGCTGGAGGAAGAAAAATGCACTTGGAAACAGATGCTCAGTCCTTGGCAGCCTCCCCGCAGGCAGCGTGTTCTGTGCCTGCCCTAGAGCCCTACACTCCAATTCGGAGAATGCAGTAGCAGTCACCTCCACCTGGAAGCAGACTGGAGTGAACTTATCAGGAGCAGCTCCTGTTACCCATGGGATGCAAACTTGAGGCATCAGCTCCAAAAGACGCAGCCAGGTTTCTGCCTTCAGGGCCACTTACTCTTTCAGTTGGTGCTTTGATTTAAAGAGCAGAGTGGGCCTGGATGTTTCCCAGCCTGAACAATGTCAGGGAATCCCGAGACTTCTCCTTTGCCAGAGTTTGTCTTTCAAAGCCTTAGACTATGCAATCTATATCCAGTCCTAAGTCCCCACACCATTTTTCTCAACCATCCCGCCAAATCAGCCTCCTCTAGTGCTATCTGCTCCCTACAAACCAGTGGTTTTCTTCCTTGAGGAGAGAGGCTATGCTGATCTGGCCAGTGGCATGGGTGCTGCCATCTGCCAGAACTTTTGATCTCTTGCAAGAACAAGATGGCAGCGAGCGTTTGAGCAGGGGAACTGCTTCACCAGGCTCGGAGCCACGCTTTAGTCCTCCTGCGTGCAAAGAGCAGCGAGCATTGCAAGAGGAGGTGTGTCTGCTCTGGAGGGTGTTTGTTTTAAAACTGGATTTGCAGGGTTTAGTCTAGAGATTTGCATGTTACAGAGAACTAGAGCCACTGGGCAAGTTTTGGCTGAGCAATCTTCCTTGGCTCCATCTGGTACAAGGATACATCTCAGGGCCACCTCCAACTTTATTTTCCATCCCTTTGCCCCAAAGACAGAGCTAGGCAGCTTTTTGAAAGTCTTCAGTGTGCATTCCAGCCTGGCAGATTTGAATGTGCAGAGTGCTGTTGTGTGCCAGGGAGGCAGGGTGCTTAGGGAGAATATGAGCTTGGAATCAGACTCAAGTTCAGAGCCCCCGTTACTCACTGTGTGAACTTGGACAAGGTAGTGGGCCTCTCGAGCCTTCGTTGCCTAGCTGTAATGTGGAGATGTCATCAGCCACTTCTGAGGTGACTGGAATACTGCAGTGATCTATGGTAGACAAAATGCTTGAAGTGTCAGTAAATGATCTCTTTCCTAGTAAAATAAACTTGTAAAAGAAAGCTCGTATTTACCTAAAATACATGCCAATCCTTGTCTTTCTAAAGGAAAAGTAAACAGTTCAGGTGTCTGTCTCCATCCGAGCCACTTAAGAACAGTGAATTAGAACCTGCCTGAGCCTTGGCTGCCTCACCTGCCAAAGGGAACTCTGAGACCCACCTTGCAGGGCTGTGCTGGCTAAATGCATGTGATCAGTAGCACAAGCCTGACACTGAGGACAAATGGGATCTCACTGAGAAGTCACTCCCTGAAGAATTGCCTACATTTCAGCTCTGAGATGCAGTTTCCAGATCCCCTTAAACAAGTCTGTTCCGTTCAATATCCTTCCCACCCTTTGCCTTGGGCAGTTAATTTAGGAGTCAGGTCCAGCCCTGCCTCTGATGTTTCTCATCTGAGGACTCCTCAGTGAAGATGTCCTTACCCATGGGAACCTAGGAGACCCCTCTGGCCCTACCCATTGAGGCCTCCGCTTCCCACAAGGCCTCAGCTCCAAAGCCCTGGAAGCTTGACTTATCTGATGCCCAGAGCAGGACACACAGTCACTGGATATCCAGTGTTTTGGGGCCGAGTTCCAGGCTTGAGGAGTGACGTTCCGTAGTTTGGACACCTAGGTCCCAAGAGCCTGTTTCATCTTTTATTCAGAGTATCTTGCCAGTGCTAGGAAGATGTGTGTGGAGGGCGGGGGGAGGGGGTAGTGTGAAAAATGCTTCCAAGAGGAGACTGTGTATTCTTAACCAGGGTGACAGGATTGCCTGAGCAATGCCTTTTGGTGGAGGGCCAGCGTCTTCTGCAGCTTCTGGTATTGATGCTTGTGACTGTGTTTTGTCACTGTGTTTAAATCTAACTCGGAAAAAGGGCAGCCTAGTCGTGGGTAGCTACATCCTTCCTGCTCATGCAGAAAGTGGAACTCTCCTCTCCTAATGAGAAGAGAGGAAAAAGTCTTAGAACATGGAAACAGATCTGTACTAATAGCAGGGCTTCGTTAACTACTTACTGAGGCCTTCTGGCTACCCAGACCATGTGAGACACAGCCCAGATTTTTTGTAAGACTCTTTTGCAGGCCTGCAAGTTGATAGTGGTCTCCCCATTTTACCAGTGAAGGAGTTGAGGTTCATAGAAGGGAAATGGTATAGGTGAGGTTAATCTAAGTAGTAAAATGATAGCCAACCTGAAATGCCACCCATTCTAGCTTGTTCTAATTAGCTGAGAAATAATTAGAATTCAAAAGGAGAAAAAGGTAGTAAAAAAAATACCCAAAATCTGGAAAACTCTAAGAACTTTGAAAAATTACAAAGAATTACAAAAGCATCCTATGAGACTCTAAAATTGCCAATGCCTGAAATCTAGTGAGTAGGAGGTGATCATTTTTGGTGAAATCATCAAAGTGCTCAGGTGGACATTTGGGTAAACTGCACACAACCAGATTGTAAGTGCTCCCTTGACCAGCCTTCCCAGGGATCATACACGGCTTAGCATTCAGTGTGTGAATTGCCTTGCAGAGAGCACTAGCCACTCTTACTGAGGTCGACACTGAGAAGTGTTCTCTGGCAGTTTCTCTGTGAGTTGAGCACGTCTTTATTCTGCAGAAAATAGACAACCTGATAACTCCCCAGCCAGTTACAGCAGGGCCACTCCCAGTGTGGTCCTGGGCAGGGACTGGCCCGTGATCAGTGAGTGCAATAAGCAAAAGTAGCATTGGAAATTGTGGAGCAATTTGATATAACGGCACATCCCAATGTGTGATCACAGTTCTAGTAATTTATGTTTATGGCATCCAGAAGTATTCAGCCATGATACAGCAGAAATTAAAAAAGAAAAAAAACACAGCAAAACTGGTCATTGCGCACACATGAGGAGCACTGAGCTAGCAGAAGCCAGCTGGTTAGACCCTCGACCTTGTGGAACCATGCAGCCATCCTGCCATCAGGACATAGAGAGAGGATGACCTTCGATCCTGGGGGCAATGTCTGCCTTCACACTGGTCTTCAAGTGGGGCTCGGGGGCTGCTTCTATCCCTTGAGTCAAGTTCTCCATCACCTGGCTTCCTTGTAACCTCTTCTAGATGTCCTAGTGTCCATCTTGGTGACTGGAATGGTCTCCAGCAGGTTTGAAAGAGCCGCTGAGCCCCAAAGTGGATCACCCCAAGGATACTTTCAGTTCAGTTCAGTTCCTTTTCATGACCCATGTGCTGCTCAGAGGGTATGAGTGAATGCCACTGGGAGAAAGGAGCCTTTGGACCCATAATGAAAGGAAGGACGAGGTGTGGTCTTCACCCTGAATCCGCTGGACAGGGCCCCATGCTTGTAGAGTTCACAAGGCGCTGCACACAAGCATGTTCTGGAGGCACCCACCAACGACCTCGTAGCCTTCTGCATGCTTCAGTAATTGCTCCCTAGTCAGGATTGCTCAGAAGCTCAGTGGCACAAAGTGCTTATTAGCTAAGTGCTTAATAAGATCGCGCTAGGGACCTGTATTTAAAGCCTGTGAGAGTCTCCTCTCCATCTCTGCTCTATCAGGAGAGGCAATCTTTGTGTGTGGGTGTCATGGCGTCACCCACTGCCTTTCTGGGAGAGAACTGTGGAGCCAGTTCACACACTGGGCCAGTGGAGACAGCCACCCAAGGGGCTGGGCAGGCAGCACTGAAAGAAAATCGCTCCTGCCTTTATCCCCCTCTTCATTTTAATATAAACCCAGAAAGCACTTTGTCTTGCAACCCCTGGCTGAGGGGATGAGTTAGGGGCCCCAGTGGGCGATGGAGAATCAGACAAACAATGGCTTATTGTCCCGAGCCAGCGCACCTGAGCCTCCCTGGAAGCAGGAGCCAAGTTTCTCGGCTCGAAAAGCCTCCTGAAAATAGCAGTGAGCATGCTTGGAAGCAGAATCCCAACCTCTCCAAGGCTGGGCCAGCATGGGGGCTGGGATGGAGGGGCGGCAGCTGCTGCCCCTGAGAAGTGGCAGGGTTTGTAAAGCCTGAGGACGCCCCATCTGCCGAAGCCTGAGGGATCAGACAGTCCCAGCAGGCCTGCAGACATGTTCTGGCTGGTCCCCAGGAGCCACATCCAGAGATTATTCCAAAGCTTCCCTGAGTGTTGAGGCTTCCGTGATGAGAAAGAGTCAGAGACGCCTGTGCTGTGTGTTCTTCCCAGCCTGCTGGGCTCTGTGGTGCAGACGACGGCCCTGCTGCCAGGAGGTGGGGAGCCTGCGGTCCTTTGCTTCACTGTCCCCTGAACCTCCTGCTTTGTGTTTGAGGCTGTGTGTTGTCAGATTAGAGGTGGCGTCCCAAGAGCAGCCTTGGGTTCAGACGGAGAGCATCCTTTCACTCGCACCCAGGTCCCTGTTCTTGTGGTCCTGTGCCTGCCAAGCTTTGCTCAGAGACCTTGCAGCCTGCACCACTCGTTCTGGCCTCTCCTAGGAGCTGGATGTGGAGGCTAGGCAGGGACTGGAATTCCCCTCCTTCCAGAGTCCAGGGATCAGAAACTTTATTTCAGAATCTCATGTTGAGAGGAGATCGCAATGTTTCCAGGGAGAGAGGCTTTCAGAGCTGTGGGGAGAAGGGAAGTGAGCAGGGGTTTGCCAAGGGTGTGTGACTGTGCCCGTGCTCAGGGCTGTCAGCTGGAGCCCTTCCCCAGCCCCCTCACACATGGGTGGGGATCCAGGCTTTTGTGGGTACCGCCAATACACAGCACCCACCGCCCGCCATCAGGCGGTGCCTCCAGGGCTTACTCAGGATGCTGCCTCCCCTACTCTGGGTCAGCTCTGCCGAGCACCAGCTGTGGGTCCCACAGGGCACTGCCACAGAGCTCCCCCTCCTGTTCCCTCCGCCAGCCTAGAGCAGCCCAACCATCACTCCGTCCCAGCCACTGTGGACGGCCAAGGTGCCTTTCTGGGAGGGACTCAAGTCAGACACAGACATAGCTCCCTGGGGACCCAGGAGCTGTAGGTAGGCTGGGTGGGCTGAATGCAGAGGAGAAAGAGCAGGAGGAGTCAAGGTTACCCGGACTGTGGACCCAGAGTCTGCTAAGTGCCACACACTTAAATACCCTTGTCTCATTCAGTCCTTTCCATAAATCCATGAGGCAGGTACAACTATCCTCATTTTACTAAGTGAGGAAATGGAGTTCAGAAGCTCAGTGCAAACCCATCAGTGGCAGAGCTGGGTCCCAGGTCCATGCAGGCCCCACTGCCCGCTCAGCAACCCCAGCCCCCAGGAAGGCAGCTCTCTGTCTTAAGGGCTGGTTCCCGATTTACTCCTTTCCTTCGCTAGGCTTCTGTGTCCCACAGGCTCTCGCAGGCTGTGGATACACAAGTGTGTGCAGACCTTGTGAGTAGTTACTGGGCTTAAACAGCACAATTTTCCCTGGATGAGAGAGGCTTGAAGACCCCAGGCTGAGGTCAGGAGAACTGAGAATCTTCCGGAACCTTTCGGAACCTTCCAGAGCCTTCCTGGACCTTCTATTTATTTACTAAGTAGGTCCCTTCTGCTCTCTGGGATTCATTCACCCCTTCTGTGCATCCAGAGGTTCAGTGCATCCCTCAAGGTCTCACAGCCGCAATGGATATGGTTCCACAGTCACCTGGTTTACTAGGGGACATAGGTTTTGAAGTATATTTTCCAATTTTTTATTGTGTTAAAAGACACAATTAAAATTTACCACTGTAACCATTTTTAAGTGTATGCTTCAGTGATATCAAGTACATTCATACTGCTGTGCACCCATCACCACTGTCCATCTCTAGAACTCGTTCATCTTATAAAATTAAGACTCTATATCCATAAACAATAACTCCCCATTGCCCCTCCTCCATGCTCTGTATCCACCGTTCCTGTCTGTGTCTGATTTTGATGGTTCCAGGCACCACATAGAAGTAGAACCTTCTATTTGCCTTTTTGTGGCTTCAGAGTTTTCTTTCTTTCCCCCCGGCTCCTTCTCAGAATACCTGCCCCTGGCGGGTCTGCCTCTCCTGTGGTTGTGTGCTGTTTGCATGGGCGTACAGAGCCCTCACCCGCATCCCGCCTTGCCGACTCTTCCTTCTGGGCGTTAACTGCCTCTTCTTTGTCTCTGTTCCTCTGCCTCTGCTCTTGGCTAGCTGACAGTAGGGAAAGTGTCCAGCGGAATAGGGGCTGCAGCTGAAGTCCTGGTCAATCTGTACTTGAATGATCACAGACCTAAGGCCCAGGCCACCTCTCCAGACCTGGTAAGGATGTGCACCTGTCAGCCTTCACCTGCAGACACTGGCTCTGGCCTCCAGGGTGAGAGCACTGGATGCAGAGAGGAAGGCTCAGGCCTCTAGCAGCTGCCCTTCTCAAGGGACCTGAGGGTGCTGGGAATGGGCTGGACCCAACCAGAGGTCCAAAGGACCTGTATCTCCTCAAGGACAAAACAATGATGGACTGAGTCCTTGTGGATGATTCCCAAGGCAGGGCACCCTCTCTCCCTTCTGTGGTTTTGAAGAACCATTTAGTGCACAGGCTGCACGTGGCCATCCACCGAAACCAGCATCCCTGACCTTCGGTGTCTGGTGTCCAGCCTGAGCAGCGCAGTGCATCAGACCGAGAACCCAGTATGATGAGAGCGCACTTTTCCCTTCTCCCACGAGGCACTAGCTGCCATCCCCAGCGATGCGCTTGGACAGTTCCTCCCGTTGCCTTTGGCATGTTGCCTCAGAGTCCCCCCGAGCCAGCCCTCCCTGCCCTAGCCCTCCTATTTTGCCTTTGGGAATCTGGCAGCCTGGGATCTGCAAGAGACTGGCTGTCCCTTTTCTCTGCTGTCTTGATCGTATTTAAAGCCACTAGCTTTTCTCGCCTGATCTAAGTCACTTCAGGGGACCAGGTCTTGTAAAAACCTCCTCAGCAAGGCCCTATTAGTGACTCCACTCTACAGCTCAGTGATACTTCTCCCCCAGGACAGATCCTGGAGAGGGCATCCCTGGGCAGACATGTTTGTGGGTGGTGCCCTTGTATCAGACCAGGCAGCATCGCGCCCACACAGGACCAGATGAACCAGCCTGGGGAAGAGTCCCTGCAGGTCTGGGTCCCAACTGGGAGTGAATCTTCCCACGTGAGAAGCAAATAGGGCCCCAGAGGTCCTGGTGACTTGGTTGGGAACTTCTAAAAGCCAAAACCTGGCCTCTGAAGGCTCACTAGCCCTCACACACAGCTCTTCCCTCCCCACCCCAGGAATCTATTACACGGAAGACGTTTCCCCTGAACGTGGGTGGCAGTGACACCTGCTACTTCTGCAAGAAGCGCGTGTATGTGATGGAGCGGCTGAGCGCCGAGGGCCACTTCTTCCACCGAGAGTGCTTCCGCTGCAGCATCTGTGCCACCACCTTGCGCCTGGCCACCTATGCCTTTGACTGTGAAGAAGGTAACCCCAAGGGATGGGGCAGCACTGCAGCTTGCCTTGCATTCGTGGGCCTCTGGGGGCTCTGGGATACCCACTACTTCCCAGCAAGGAATCCCGTGTTACCAGGAAAGCTGTTAGGAACCCTGAGGCTCCTGCTAGGGAGGGAATGGAGGCATCAGTGCCTACATTTTGTTGTACGAGGCAGTGGTGGCACCTACCATGGCTGAGGGCTTCGCATACACTATCTCATTCAGCCTGGCCACCTTCCACGGTCCCCATATGCCCAGAAAATCAAACCTGATAACCTCTTTACACACCCAGCAGCACACCTGGCATGGAACAAGGGTTTAATAAATGATGGTGTATTACCAGTATCTCTAAAGTATGTGTTATAGTTACAGCCATAACCATAAGATCTCCTCTGATAAACGACCTACCCGAGATCACTGAGGAAGGAATTATGCTCCTGGGAGTGAATGAGCATTTCATCCCTTGATATTATTGCACTGTCATGATAATGTGTCATGGCACTGGGGACTGCGCAACCTCACACTAACCTGTCTGGATTAAAGTCCAGTCTACCCCCTGTTAGCCACTTCACTTTGTTAGTTTGTTAACTCTTGTTTATGGGCCTGTTAACCTCTTGTCCCCTCAGCTCCCTTGATTGTGAAGTGAAAATAATAATAGCACTTAGCTCATAAGATTATTGTGAGAACTGATGGGTTAGTTCATGTGCCTAGAATAGTGCCTGGTAGACAGTCAGTCCTGCCTGACGGATCCTGGTGACTGTCATCATTACCATCTCCGTTATTATTGTCACAGCAGTGAACAGGAAGGTTTTTCTGGAAGCTATCCTTGGTCCTGGGCAGTGGCCAGTTACCCAGCATGTGCCTTCCTGGGTCTTCTCTTCCCCATTCCTGCTTCTCAGCCATCCCCACCTCCAGGGACCCCAAGAAGGAGGACTGAGGGTGCTGATGCTCAGAGCTGCCCATTTTGTTCCCTGGCAACTGCTCTTGACCAGAAACTTGGCCTCAGTTTGGCTTCAGGATTTTAGCTCCACCCACCTCACCTCAGTTGCTGGAACCTTTTCTGAGCAGCGAAGTGTGCAGCTGCTTCACCCTGGAGCCGCTTCTTTAGGACAGGTGACCGAAGGCTGAGCTTGCCTGGGCTTGCTTCCATTGTTGGTGCACTCCAACTTGGTCATAACAAGCATGTGGCTCATGTCTACTGTGGTCTGGAGAAAAACTGTGTGCATGTGTGTCTCTTTTTTACAGGCAAGTTTTACTGCAAGCCTCATTTTATTCACTGTAAAACCAACAGCAAACAGCGGAAGAGATGGACAGAGTTGAAGCAAGAGAGAGAGGTATGTTGTGTCTCAGAAGTGCCGGGGAAACAGGGAAGACCCACTGAATGAAGAAGGTCTTCAAGGGTTCCTAGAGGCCCAGAGACTACACTCAGACAAGGAAGAGACTCCACTTCCTGGTGTGGGTGGTCCTGTCACCTGGGTGTTTTCAGCCGGCCTCTAGGACTTGCCCTGTTCCTCTGAGGAGCCCAGCAAAGGTTGACTGTGTGCTAGGGTGACCACGAGCTAACGCCACAGAAAAGCCACACGGTCTCTTGGTGCCTGGGCTTATCTGGCCACAGGGTGCTGTTTGCAGGAGAAACCACTGGTGTGGAGCTTGTCTGTGGTTTCCAAGATGTCTCCCAGACCCTAGGTGTCAGCTAAGGGACAGACCCGCTGAATTTATAGATGATTTGTGGTAGCGCCCTCTGGTCGCTATTTGTGAATACCTTCTCTCTGGTTTGGTGAATGCAGGAAAAACTGACAATTTAAAACTTTTTCTAGTGATACAAGTAATATAGACCCAATGTAGAAAAATGGGAAAATCAATAAAAGCACATAAAGAAGGAAAGTTAGATCATGCGTAATCGCTCTACCTTGAGAAAACCCCGATAGCTGTTGTGTAATATTCCCTTGCACACTTTTCCCCACTGGAATACATTTTAGCCTAGTTGGACTCCTACCTCTACAATTTTATGTCCTTATTTTTTCTCTGATAGTATACTGAGAACAGTTTTTCATGATGTTAAGAATTATCTGGACGTATAAGCTTTAATACTTATAAAAGATTTTCTTTTATGCATGGTGAATAATCTGTTTCACTAATCCCATACTGTTGGACTTCTATACTGTTTGATATTCTTATCTTACATATATTTTTACCATGAACAACTTTTTATGCAGAGCTTTATCTGTATTTCAAATTATTTACTTAGTATATATTATCACAGGGTGGCAGGTCAAAGGGCACGTACATTTTGAAGGTTCATGGACTGTATGGTCAGTTTGCCCCCCAACAAATTCATGTCCACATTCAGCACCATGAATGAGAGGGTGGAGATGATTTGGGAGACTCGCTGCAGAGCCAGGGAACCCACATTTAACTGGAGATAGCTCTCTCAGATGGCTTTGTTGGAGGAGTCCTCTGGGAGACTCATGGACTAAGTGCCCTCATTGTGACCTCTTTCTCAGGAGGAGGGGACGTGGCAGGAGCAGGAAGCCCCTCGACGGGATGCTGCCTCCGACAGTTCTTGTGCAGTGGCCGCCATCAGCACGCCAGAAGGCAGCCCCCCAGGTATCTTCACCTCCTTCTGTAGGAAGGCACTGAGCTGGCCTCTCAGGCTGTCAAGGGGCCTGCTGGCCATTCCCTGGAGCGTGCTTAACTGGATGCAGGGACTCCTGCACACCGCCAGCCTCCATTTCAGGGACAATGCTTACAACTACCGCTACACGTACGAGCTCCTGAGCCTCGGGCTGCCACTCCTCTGGGCCTTCCTGGAGGTCCTGGCAACCATGTACAGGGAGTCTGAGGACTCCCTGGAGAGCATCAGAAACCGGGTGCTCAGGTGGCTCCCTGTCAAGCTCCAATGAAACACCTGGCTACCCCAAAGCACCTTACCATTTCCAGAGTGTAGACGACAGTGTGTTTGTAGCTTGCTAAGGCTCTGGCCAGGAAATCTAGTGTCTGTCGCCAATTAGCTCCAAGCCAAAGAGTTTCACATTGGTCGCCTCCACCTGGCCTTGACAGGGTGAGCACCTGTTCATGGTGCTAGGGCCAGGGATCACATGAAGGATGTTTTTTACTACAACTTTATACTGTTTTTTATACCAAAGCGAGCCATATTGCTGGGTTTACATTTCAATTTTTAATTTTCAATAAGCCAAAAGAGCATTTTTTTTCTCTGACTGTTAATTTTTCTAAACATGAGTTTGATATTTATAATCCAATTTCCAGGCCTCTGCAATCTTGCAGTGAGTTGCAATAGTCACTACTTACAAGGTTAGTGACCTGGGATTCTATATGCACAAAAGTGAAAGGGCCCTGTCTTTACCAGTGCCTTTCAATTTGTGTAGCTGATGCCACTTGTCCACAGTGTGTGTGGTTTATTGTGTAATATGACAGCGTGTTAATGTTAGAAGGAAAGAGAAGGGGGATAGAATGGAATGAAACCTGTGAAAGCAGAGGAGAGTGTTGACTGTCTGCCCTCCTAGAGAGAGGAGGACTGTTTTTCTCCCTCTCTCTAATGTACAATAAAAGCTTACAGGCCTTTTCCCACATCAAAGCATAGCCAAATGACACAGAGCCACAGGGTTTCAACCAGATTGCTGCAGACATACATTTTTCCTTCCCACTGACGATGGGCATGTGACGCGGGAGAGCTGTGTCCACCTGATGCAATGCTGAGGACAGGCTCTTTCACCTGGTGGCATCTTAGCGCCTGGGGCTTCCTATCAGGTTCCCTGCCCAGCTTGTAGGCTGAGCCAAGGCCACTTGGGGACCATAATAGGCTGAGTGGAATGGAAGAAGCTGTCCCTTCCCTTGGTGCCCTGGGTAGCCAAGAGTATGTGTTAGCACTTGGGAATATGGCCTTCTTGGTGACCCCTGCCATTGGCCGCCATGCCACTCGGCTACCCTGTGCGTTTGGTCAGAACAGGAAGAAACCATTTCTACCCTGCTCTAGTAAAGAAGCTGTCTGACCTCTAGAGGGCGCTCTGCTGCATCTTGCTGCCAGGGAAGGCTGGGAATACAAGCTGTTTAGTGACCCATCCAAGAAACAAGCCCTATCAAGGGCAAAAACTGAGCACTGGGCCCACGTGCATTCTCCACTGTGGGTGCCTAACAGAGACATCAGCTGTCTCCGCTCTGCCTGGACATGCTCAGCTGCAGGGTCTCATTGGGCAGTCGAGGGGCTGATAGAGAAAGCCCTTGTATGGTCCTCAGTGTAGCCAGGTTGCTGGCTCCAGTAGAACTGTGCAGCTCTTATCCCTAGAGCTTCCCCTAGAGTAACTAAGGAGGGAGCCTGGTGTGGGTTAGGAGCCAGAACACTTTGTGAGCTTTGAGATGGCAGATTTCTGTAGGGAGAGAAGAAAGAAGCGAGTGCATTTCTGCAGACATTTCCCTGAAGTCCTTGGGAAAAACAGGGGCGTGTCTGTGGGAACTGGCACTTCTGTCCTTGTTGAATCTGCTCTCAGTCTGACGATTCGCATTGTATTTTCCCCATGTTTTGCTGAGATTTGAACGTTCAGCATGCTGGGAGGAGCGAGCCCTCTATTCCTCTTACGTTTGATTATAGAAAGTAAATTCTTGAGGTCGTGATGAGGGCAGCTGTGTTACTATGGCTGCCAACAGCTCAGGGTGGGCTGAGACGCTCTGTGAAATGCTCTGTGAAGCCAGAGTGGACGCGCTAAGAATGTCATTGACAGCCCTGCAGACACTGGTTTGAATTACTCTGGTAGACAGGGTGTGCCTGTCACAAGTCTGAGATGCTTGTAAGTTCTGAGACCTTGAACTTCCTGGTGGGCAGCACTAGCACGGGCAGGTCCGGGGCAGACAAAGTCCTCTAGGCCTCTACCCCATGTCAAGGATGAATATGAGACCCCACAGCAAAACGGGGCAGAGCAAGGATGCGGGAGGTGTCCTGGAGGCCGTAGGGGCCCCAGTGAAGCGCAGAGAGCCCTGGCAACACACAGGCCACACGCAGTAAGTCGAGGCTCACCACCAGGAAGGTTCATCTCTCCCGAGCAAGCAGTGACTTGCTGGGGGGAAGTCTCCCCTTTTTTAAATGGTTGCCTTATTTTTTACCGTGGTGCCTTCTCTTGTCATTCATTTCCCTTTTTCTCCCATGCTAAGATCTCTTTCCTGTCTTTCTCTTTCCAACCTTACACTGTGGCCATCAGTTCATTTCAGCCTTCCAGTACTACACCCACTTCTTGGCTGACACACTTCTGCTCCGAGGTGACTGGTTTTCTCGGCAATTTTCAGAGAGTGATACTAACCCTCCACCTGCTTTCTGCACCCTGTCCTCCCCGCTGGTGGCACTGGTTGCACTAACTGTGAGTGTCTCACATACTGATGGTCTCATTGGGTAGCATGGGTGGTTAACAGGGTGGAGTGGGGTTCAGCTCAAAGGCTGTGTTCTGATTCCACTAACCCGGTTCACACCAAGTGCATGCCCCGCCTCCCCTCTGTTCCTAGCTCTGCCTGCGAAGCCAAAGCTGCTTGCCTTGTGGGAGGGTTAACCCTGACTGAGACAGTACCGGGTAGGCAGCTCTGTCACCTTCGTAAAGAACATTTGTCTTGCAACCTTCACAAAAGATCATGCCCGTAGCATCTTCTTAAATTGATTCTAATATAAAGACGAATGCCATTAATCAAAATCCTAAGTGAATGATTTTCAAGGGATTTTTTAACACATTCACTCCCAGGCTTCTCTACAAGCTTGATCCAAACTGTGCTATGAGCACATAATCACAATGATTCTAGCAAGTTCTTCTTCCATCGCAGCCTGTACCTAGATGCAAGGGGCTTGCTGTGACTCTTCTCATCCCCCTTGGCTTCTAAAGCCCAGATGATTCAAGAGCTTCAGCCAAAACAATTATGGCCACGAGACAGGGATGGCTTTGAGAAATGACTCAGCTCAGCGCCAGACCTGGAGCAGCTGATTTTAACCATACTGTGGCTTTGCTTAGTGCCCGTATTCCCGCTGGCTCATTTACCTGGAGCAGCAGGACAGCCAAGAGCCCCTACAGAGAAGCAGCGTGCCCAGTGCACTAGAGCTGCTGCAGGCCAGGCCTTGCACACTCAGGACTGCAGTTGGTAGATGTCCTGCATGTGGCCGGAGCCACCTAACCTCTCAGCCTCCGCCCAGCCCTGCATGCTGCTTCCCTCGCTGTGTTTGTACAGAGCCTGGCCGATACAAAGTTGTTGCTCTTGTCTTATCTTCTCTTGCAGAATCTCCCCTGCTTTCTAGAATGTCAACCAAAGAGAGCCCTCCTCCCTCTCAGCCTCTCTTTAGCTAGCCTCCCCATCTCCTCGCAAGGCATGTCTGTGACCTTTGGTAATCATTTACAGTGCCACATGGAACCCTGTATTTTGCACACAGCAAATGATGTGTAGCTTTATTTATGGTATTTGATGCTGTAAATGAAAATAAATATGATTCTTTATAAAGCTCATTGTTTCCTCTCTTCTTTGCCGTGGGAGCTTCTAAAGCCTCAAACACAGGGGTCAGTTTAGGGGTCTATCTTCCCTAAATGGCTGGCGGGACCTGCACTTGTGGTGACACGGACTCTCTGGGGCTGTGCTGGGGTACTCTGAAATATTACCTAGGGGTAATATTTGGAAAAGGTCACCAGGCTTTGGGGTCTCTTCCTTGGATACTCATGGTACCTTGCTCTTCTAGACACTGGGCAGAGTCGGCGAGGGCCCGAGTGACCTGAGCTCTGCAGAACTTCTAAGCCGTGGCCCTATAGGAGAGCCATACCCCTAACCTTACGTGATTTATTAGGCTCCTACAGGCAAACAGAGGATTTTGAACCTTTCATGCTGGTCCAGCTAAATGATGGGTGAAAAGTAGGGAAGAAGGACAGGACATTGTTCTCAGGATGACAGTGAACACGGCAGGTGCACTTATCAGATGGAGAGCCATTTGTCATCCTAACAGAATTCCCTACCCCAGAGGCTCTGATCACTCAGGGCTTGTGCAAGGAGGCTTTGCCCAAGGGCCACTTTGAGTATGGCACCCGTGACAGGCCCTGCCCAGCTGCGTCTTGGGAAAGTATTTGTAGCCTCACTCACTACCCTGGGCTGTGCCGAAGGGGCCTGGTCCTCAGCTTCCCCAGGCAGGGGACCCCGCTATTGCCAGGGTCTGCTGTAGCTGGGCTTCCGTCACTGGCATGATGAGTTACCTGTGATCTTCATGAGGACCTGGCACCTCCCAAGAGTCATTTCTGGGACCTTGATCTCCAGCTCAGTTGCTGCTATTTGGATCTGCTTTCAGAGCCACCTCAGGTCATGACCAAGGGGTCTATATTCTTTCCTTTTCATTCAAGGAAAGATGTCAGCGACTGGAAGGCAGGCAGTATGTTGGGCAAGTGACTCATTCTTTGTCTATTCAACCGTGACTTGTCCTGGGCACTATTCTAGGGCCCAGGGACATAGCAGAGACCCTACAGAGTCCCTGTAGGTCCTGGCATTTTAGAGAGTGTTTGTCAGTATTGCTCAGTAAGACCTGAAGTGTCTTACTCATCTCTGCATGCATTCATTTATTCAGCTACTATTTCCTGAATGTCTTC